TTCATTACTTTGGTTGTCTCTATGTACAAAATTCACGACCTTCATGGAATATTTGCCTTACCAAGAATCACATATTGCATATATGTGTGTGTGTGTGTATGAGCATTGTTTTAAACGATTGGGAATAATTAAAATGATACCAACAATTTATAAGTGAAAGAGTTGGTGTTGTTTGAATCATAAATAGTCCCGGCAAGAGGAAAGCAATTTCATCAAATCAATTTATTGTGCATGTATAATCAATCAATTAACCTCAAATTGAGCTTTGATCAGCGCACAAAATTAAAGAATGGACTCTTTTAATTTTCTTTTGTTGTGGTCCACTGATTGCTTGAATTTTTTATGATTATATTGCTTACTTCCAAATTAAGTGATCAAGTTTTTTACAAGAAAGTTGTCATGGTTGAATAGTTAAGATTTTCTTGCTTCTTTTTTATTTTTATTTTTTTTGGTTTTTTTTTTTAAAAAAAGATAAACAAACTCTTTCCATTTATATTTATTTTTCATTTTTACAAACTGGGTTTGCATATTTCTGAAATGTATTGGAATGTTTTTATAAAAATTCTATAAGAAATTAGTTTTGAATATCAACAAAAATCGATAATTAAAGAATTTAAATTTTGTATTTATCAAACTAGATAGCACTACTTAATATATATATATATATATATATACATATATACATATAACAATTAGAGATGCTCTAAACTTTTTGTAGGCAAACTTAGTTTGCACACCGAAAAGACTTTTTCCTTATTTTAAAAACATTCACTTACCCACATGTGATCCGGAGATAGTTGGGGCTATTAAATCCAAAAGAGATGGTGACATTCAAAAAAGAAAAAAATTGCACCCAACGAAGGAGGAGATTGGGCAAGTCCATTTTGGCTCCTTTATCATAAATCAAAAGTGATTATAAGTCATAATAGACTTTTAAGAAATACTCTTATAATATATTTTTAAAAAGGGTAGTGATGAAATATAATAGTATAGGAAGTTTTGGTTCATTTAGGTAGAGTACACCTAAGCTTTGTCGGTAGAGAGAAGAAATAGAGAATGGGAGAGTTGCATATAATTCCAGAAATGCCAATTCGCGTTGAGATTCCCTCCATCGTCCTATCTCATTTCAATATTATAAATATTACTAATTTTTAGGATTTGGCTTGTCATGACCTGTTTGCCAGCCATCACTGGAAAGTCAACAAAATGGATGAAGAAAAAGAACAAACAAATAACCTGTACGAGTCAATTTCCTAGCCCCTAAATTAAAAATGCTGGTCCCAATTCCTAAAGCCTTAAAATTGTGCCGTTGTGAGAGTAGGTACTCACAGCACAAGTTTGTTCACGTTCAGAGATTTTCTTTGATTATGGAGAGATTATATATATATATATATATATATATATTCACTTCATCTGATAATAGTTTTTCACTTTGAGAACTGTAATATACAATTTTGTGAGCCACAATTTTTAAAGTGAACAAATATTATAAAACAGATAAAGTATATATTAACACTTAGTTTCGTTAGTAACCTGTTGCCTTTATATGGAATAAAAGTAAGAAGGATTATGATGAATAAACTGCCAATTTAATTAATATATAATTTTACTTACCGGAAAATAAAAAATTAGTACCCCTAAGGTATGTGATTCATTATAGTTTAATTAAGGAGAAGAGTTGAAATCTTCTATGGTACAATGCCGTGTTTTATCATTTAGGACATAACTTAGTACTAGCATGTGTCTTATCTCACGCATGCAACTATACAAGTGATGGAACCATTCGTGCTATGTAAAGCTATGGTGTTTCAACTCCAAGTGCATTATCTAACGATAAAAAATCTCACTTCACGTGAATTTAAATTTGCTTGGGTACTAGGGAACTCTTTTAATAATTATTTAATGTACGTGGAATTGAAAAATTACATATGTTCGGTGATAAATTATGAAGTGCTCTAAAAGGCCCAACACCATAAAAAAAATAATAATAATAATAATAAAATTGGGTGTTTTAAAATATTTACATTTAAAGGAAAAGAAAAACCGAAATTCCAAGAAGGTGACGTGTCAAATTTTTTTTTAAGCATCTACTCGAGCCGCCTATGTATATAATGTGAAACATTTGGGGCCCAAAAAGATGATGGCACTGATACTTCTCTCTCTTAATCTGCACGAGACCTATATATATCTGTATACCTGTACCTATCACATGCCACATATATTGTGTATACTCCACTAATCCAGTATCATCTTCTGGGTCCATTACTAGGTCTAATCCTATAGACACTAGTCAATCGGCCTCCGCAGATGAAGCCCACAATTTCATGCCGACATTCAAAATATCATAAATCTTTTTCGTCTTTTTTTTTTTTAATTATCAACTTTGATGCTTCACTTGAACATATATATCTATAAAGGTTAAATCTACAGTGAAGGCAAGTTAGTGAAGGCACATTCTACATGATACACTTTAACAGAGTCAGACCAAATGAATTAGTGGGCCCAACAGTAATTTCCCAAGGCCCATGAACCAAACAGCAATGCCCAAAGCCCATGCATCTACAATGAGAGTGTTTTTTTACTGTGAAATAATTTAATTTAACCAAACGCATCTAAATAATTTTAGTAGTATTATTTATGTTCTTGAAAAAAAGTCTCCGTGACAGTCTTTTCCATATGAGAGATTAATGGGCCAATGCAAGTGGCTCTAAACTCTAAATAATCATATATGTTAGCTACTTTCCATCTTTTCACATTAAGATTTGTTTGGTGTACAAAATATGAAGAAATGACTTGTATGACACCTACATTAATCTATTATTTTATCTTTCCTTTTTTGTTCTTGGCATTTATAGTATAAGAAAAGAAGCTGATAAATCTTAAAACTATTATACATTCTTTTTGTCAATATGATCGATGTTATGATTATAAACTTGGCCTTTTAAAAATTTTTAGATTTGTGAAAAAATTCGTAACTAGAACACGTCATAGGATAGACAACTGATGATTCTGACCTATCTGATAAATGTCAAATTTTTCCCCAATTATTATTTCATTTCATTAATGAAATTAAAGTCTCAAATACTTAATTTTAAGTCATCTTAATGAATATAGTAAACAAAAGGTCAAAAAGAGGATTATAAGTATTTATTTTCAGTCCCCAGTCCCCATAAAGGTTCATATTTATTTCTAGAGGAGGGGTCCCTGAGAAAATATGGGGAACATCAAGGACTAGAGGATACAATGGTGAATCAATTCTATATAATGGGGTAGGGTTCAAGAATATTGTAGAAATAGGATTGTCTCTATATCTTCTACTTTGTTTATTTTATACTTGATGACTCGTTAAATGAGTAATTATTTTAATTAGATATAAGTTTCAGAGTATTATTTTAAGTATCATGCTACCATTCTAATCATTGACAAAAATTAAACTAATTCCCGAGACAAAATCAATCCTTTTATTTAATATTTATTATTTTATTATTGTTTACTTTTTCATGCAGTAATGTTATAAATTAATGTAGTTAATGTACTTCTCACGTTTTGATTTTAAAATTGTAGAGATAATGTTAATTTGTTGTGTCTTATGAATCTAAAACCAATAAATTTGTGTCCAAGGGCAAGAGGGGAAGGGTGAGAATTTGCAGATACATCATAGACTAATTATGCAGGTAGTATGATCTCTTCTTTTCGAATTAAGGTTGAGTGTTCAATTTCAAATAATATTGTGAGTATACACGTCTATTTGAATTATTTATTTATTTATTTTACTAGGTACATAGAAATTTTTATTTCATATATCTATTTCTTGTTATAATACTTATTTTATTACTTTCAAGAAAAAATAAAGTAAGACTTTTGAAATTTCTTTTTTAGCACTGGAGTAGATTGTAACTATAAAATGATTTTCAGCCAAAAAGAAAATAAAAATAAATAAATAAAAAACACACACACACACTCTCTAAGGAAGATACCATTTCATTAAAATGTATCAGGCAATGATGACACTTTTCAATGTGGTAATAATTTGGAAGAAGTGTCAAAAAAAAATCCCTCTAGAATTTATCATCATCTCTTTGAGAATCAAAACTTCTCAGAGAAAAAGAATATATAATTGTACAATGTGTGCATATGTACCCATGAGAAGTTCTGTTATTAGATCTTCCATTTAGTATGCAAGTGTGAACCAGACACGCCGATATAGGAGTAGTCTGAGGTCAAATATAGGATTTACTAAACCTAAGTACGGAAATAACAGTATATTCAGTTGAATGAATGAAATACTGGTAGCGAGAGGCCTCGTGTCATGGTGTGTTCGAATGTTCTCTTTTTTTTTTTTTTTATGTTCCTGCCAATGTTTTTGGATGTACCTTCTTGTCTGGATTCCTTTTTTTTTTTTTTTTCCTTACTACTATCGTTTTTACCACTCCTGCAAAAAATTACTGTTCATAAAGAAAAGAGAGATCCTTAGAATTTCTTTTAAGATGCGTATGACTGTACATGTGTCTGTATCCGCGGGTCTGTTTGGTATGCACTTTGTTTCAAGCGATTTGTTTTTAGTTAAAACAGAAACAGTGTTTTTGTTGTAGGGAGTATTTTTGAAAAATATTAGAAGCACGCTTGGGAACGATATTTTGTTGTGAAAGTGTTGAAAACAAAAATATTCACAGTTATAGTTTTGGACGGTAAACAATTGTCAAAACAAGAAAAAATATTTTTTTGGTATTTTAGTTTAGAACCACTATTCACGAAGTATTTTAATATTATGTAAAATAAAATAATTCCACATCAAATATATTTTTATTATCAAAATTGACACTCAGGTAGTAGTCCAAAAACACATGTCAAACGGGCCTCAGTATTTATTCATTTGATAGCACGAGAAAATCAGATGAGAAGAAAATCATAGTTTAAACATAAAAAAGCATTATTACCCTACCCCACCATAAAAAAGAAAAAAGGATTGTGACTTTTTCTCGTGTTATAATTCAGCCTCCTCTCTCATCTGCTACTTAATTTTCCCAGCCTTCTCTATCAAAATCTCTCTCTCTGTGCCTACATTTTTTCAAGCATAACGCTCCTCCAAGAAAGCAAAAAACAATTCACACTTTTTCTTTCCCATTACTGTCAGATTGCAACCAAATTATAAAAAAGAAAAGAAAAGAAAAGTTGCAATTTGGCAAGTGAGGTGGGGATAATATCTGCTTGAATTAGCAGAGCAGGGCAGTGGTGGGTCTTCCTTCCAAAATGGGAAGACACTCGTGCTGTTACAAGCAGAAGCTAAGGAAAGGTTTGTGGTCTCCAGAGGAAGATGAGAAGCTCTTGAGGTATATCACCAAGTATGGTCATGGCTGCTGGAGTTCTGTCCCAAAACAGGCTGGTATGTATGTATATATATATATTTCTCTTCCGCTGATTCATCGAATAATTCTTTAGTAGTCCACTAATTAATTGTGTTTAATTTGATGATGTGTGGTACTTAATTGTATTTACAGGTTTGCAAAGGTGTGGGAAGAGCTGCAGATTGAGGTGGATTAACTACTTGAGGCCTGATTTGAAGAGAGGCACATTCTCCCAAGAGGAAGAGGACCGTATCATTGAACTCCATGCACTTTTGGGGAATAGGTTTAATTTGCTTCCTCTGCTGCTGCTGCTACTACTGTTTTATTTTGATTTTCTGTATATATGTGTGTGTTTATATCTTCAAGATACCATATGCTTTCTTTCCTTTGTCATTGTCATTTTATTTGGGCATTCAGTGGACATTCATTCATTCATTGGGTTTTTAATTTTGTGGTCAGATGGTCCCAAATAGCAGTACAGTTGCCGGGAAGAACCGACAACGAGATAAAGAACCTTTGGAACTCTAGCTTAAAGAAGAAGCTGAGACAGAGAGGCATTGATCCCACCACTCACAAACCCCTCTCCGAGCTCGAAAACGGAGAAGACAAGCAGCTTCCCACCACCACCAACACCCCCCAAGAGAGAGTCTCACCATTGGGGCCAGCATCCAATGAATTGAACCTGCGCAAGGTAGCCAATTCAAAACCCGAAAAGGCTTTCCTAACATCTTCAATCGCTGCTGCAGCACAAGTGAACTACCACCACCAACTCCAAGTACCGGCAAGTCCTCCGGACGATTCCAAGGGAATATTAACCATTGACTCCTTCCTGGATAGGCATGTACCCACCTCCTCCCACCACCACCACCTCCAAGCCCTCACCTCCACCTGCCTCCACCCTTCGGATTTTGTTTCTTCTTTTCCCCTTCACCAATTGAATTATGCATCATCCAATATTGCCTCCAGGTTCTCAATGGACCCAAACCCAAACTCAACCTCCTGGTTTGCTCAGAGTGGCAACACATTGGACATGAATACAGAGCTTATCATGAGTACCTCCAATGGAATTTCTAATTACAGCTCAATCCTCCCTGCTCCTGCTACGCCTACGCCATTCAAGCATTCCAATTCTTATCTCTCCAATAATAGTACTAATAATAATTCCTCAATGGGTTCCCATAGCATGAGTTACTGGGAAGCTGCAGCCTCCAGCAGCGGTAGCAGTAGCAGTGAGTTGCAGACGAACAACACCAATTTCTTTGACAACATTAACATCAACAACAGCAGCAACAGCAACAGCAGCTTCACATGGGGATTAGCAGATTGTAGCACATCGAATAGGAAAGGCGGCGACCAATTAGTCCGTCATCTGTTGGAAGGCGAAGGAGGAGGACAGGAAGACACGAAATGGTCAGAATATGTGCAGAGCCCATATTTCATGGCTACAGCAGCCACTTTGCAGATGAATCAAACCCCACAACTTCTATACAATCACCAGATAAAATCAGAAACCAATAGTCTGGGTAGTGTCATGTGGCCCCATAACCAGCAGCAGGAACACGAGCCTTTACAAGGCGAAATTTAGCTCATGTTTCTCACCAATTACATGGTGGAATTGATCGATGAATTGCAGATTTTTTTTTTTTTTTCTTTTTTTTTCTGTTTTTTTAATCCGAGGTAGCCTTGCAAAACATCATGTTTGTCATTACAGGTTTGTTTGTATTCCGCAGAATTTTTTTATCTTGTATATATATGGGTGATCTCTCTTCATACAAACATTTTTCTGATTCTCTGTTTTATTATATAATTAATCTTTTGTGAGCAAAACAATCTCTCTTTGTTACAATTTACTACCCTGTGCTTCTTCTTTACTTTGGCAGTGTGTACACATCTATAATATTACGGGAGCTCCAACACCCAACCTCATCATTGTTTCGTAAACAATCAAACGTTTTTACTTAAATTGCCAAAAAGAAAGAAAAACAATCAAATATTTTCTAGTAATTGTTACTGTAGTAGTCATTTACTTGAAAATAAAAAAATAAATAAATAAATGAATGAATTATCTCACCAACTAGTCCGTACAAGGAGATGGAGACCACCAGTCTATCATGGTCCGCACGCACAAGCAGTGTCCATGTCAATCCAACTTCCCAATGGCATTTCAACCTTTTTTCCAAGAAGGGGGCTTGTAAAGCAAAGAAACTTCCAATTCTATCGTGTGAGACTGGGGAGAAGCTATTTGTACGGAAGCAGAAAAACCAATGGTCCAGATTCACGACACTGAGCTGCCAAACAAATCCATGCCGTACACAAATTTACTAGGGGGACCAGCTCCTCTGCTCTACGTGTAGGGTTCTTAGTTGTTTGGATGGTGATGTGTGGTCTGATATGGACCATTCAAAAAAGTAGAGAGGATTCGGACCTGTTCAAGAGATGCATTCCAACATTATTTAAGAACCGTCACAATTTGAAAATTGATGACGTCCAATAGTTAAATGCTTAGAAACATCCATTTTCAATTCAAAAGCTAGGGTTTTGCTTTTTCAAATTCAAGGATTTTGTCATCGACATTGAACGTTAGGAACATCCATTTCCAATTTGAAAGGTAGAGTTTTGTTTTTTAAAATTCAATTATGATAGAGATGCAATTAGTGGGAAACTTCTTCATTGAATGGTGGTGAAGCATAAAGTCCTTTTTTTAATAGAGAGAAACAAAGTCAGTCATCCATCATGGTTTTAAGCCTGCACACAATTAAGACGTAAATAGAAATTTGTTTAACATTATTCACAACGGAGTTGAAACTCGAAAGTTCCGTGAATTTTAAGCAATTTCTTCAGCTTCTATGTCAAAACATCAATATCCATATCAGTTAGAGCATGTAAATCTAATTTGACAATGAGATCAAGTCATCATTGTAGACGAAAAAATTGCTTTCGACTTTTGTTCTCAAATTTCAAAACATTTAGAATTTAGAAATTTAAAATCCTATCCTTACCGATCCATTCTATTTCTATTGTGACCCGAACAAGTGTCAAGCTTATTAAAAGACCCTGGTTTTATTATTCCATGCGTATTATTGAAGTTGCGATAACATTTTTACACATTCAGGCATATATATATATATATCATTCCAACAGCATAAGTCAGAAACACCATGTTTTTAATGCTACATAACACCTTTGAATTTGAAATTAGAGAAAATTTACTATAAATTTTGAACTAAAGTTCCTTCAATTCCAAATCCAAACACCAAACCTGCCCATTAGGAAAATCTGTCACATGGAATTGGGTTTTAAAAAACTATTGCCTCATTCTCAAAGCAAATAGATGTGCTAAAGCACTACAATTATTATCTGGGCAACTTGAATTTAGGTCATCTAGTTGTAACCTATTAAACGTTCAGAACCAGAATAATAAACGCCATTTATAAATAACACTACCAAATACAAATGAACAAACGAATCTCTCTGATGCCAACTTCTTGTAAATGAATCGTCCAAGGCACCCGCCACAATCCATAATACTTGTGTTCAATCTGTGCTTATGCTCCTGTATATATATAATTAAAAAAGAAAATCAAGCCAAAGAAAGCACAAACAAACTACATCTGAAGTGCTGATTTACTTCTATTTGAAACCTGATGCATCTGCTGAAGCCTCTATCTTAATTCATGATTTTCCAAAGCCGGCAGCCACCTTTCTTCGGCGGGTATCTACTCTTTCAGGGCTTGGAATTCCCATCTCATCCTCGTACTTCTTTTCCAAGGCCTGTCAACAGTATAAAAGCTTCAAACCACCTTAATATGTTTTTCCTACTTCATTGCAACAAGAAGCCATAGTCCTTTCAATATGCATTACATATCCTCATCATAAACTAAACAGGAAAATATTTGAGTAACAGAACTTTAGAGATGGATTCAGCAGAGCATTACTGCAAGGCATCAGTTGGATAAATTTAAATTACTTTCTTGCTGTTGAAAGCCAACATTGCTTATTTAGGTTCTCAAAAGCAACAAAAATACTTCAAAACTACAAACTATACAGCACCTAAATGCTGTTCTAGGATCTTCAGTACCGGCAGAATGAAGAACCTCACAGCAAACAATTAATATTTATTATACGTGCACGTGTGTATAATTTTTGGTTTGCTGAAGAATTACAAGGAGGTATTGCACCAAAAAAAGGACCATGGTATGTTTAACATGTTATGCAATTAAAAATAACATACACAGTTGCATTTGCCAATGTTCCAAACATATCACCTCAGCTCCAATTTTATTCAAAATTCTTGATATCTGCAAGTACAATATAAACCATAGGTTTTCCTTATTCTCAGTGAGTGGCCTCTTGATCTGGCCAACCTTTATTTCTAATATTACCCTTTATTACACTTGTGTATATCTAGTACTTGAGAGATTTTTGTAACATCAGTCACAAATAATCAATTAGTTAAGACTACCAACAGGCCAGTGGCCTCGCGGTACCAAGCCCCTACTTCTCAAAGAGAGGTTAGGGGTTCGAGTCTCGGTGGAGGGCCTGGAGGCATGCATGTGTGAGTACCAACTAGGAAAAAAAAAATCAGTTAAGACTATATTTGGTCTCTATCATCCTCAAAAGACACGAATCCTATTTGTCCCAAAAAAGAACAAATTAGAAGAATCAGTCCCTGTTGTTTTACAAGCATCATGTGTGCCATCTACTAGTCCACTCAAATAACAACAAACCCTCTTGTTTTTCCCCCAAGTAAGAAACCCCCAGTTTCTTCTGCATAAGCAAGGACTGTCAAAAGTTTCAAACTCTAGAAGAGATGTTAAAGAACAACAATGTTTAATTTTTTGGTAAGAACAACCATGTTTATTGTCTTGCACATGAATCAAAATGCTTTTTATTAAAGACTAATGTTATTGCGAGGTCACTTACGTGAGAACAATCACGAGATCCCCCATTTCAGCCGTAGGATATAGCAATTCTCGAGATTTGAAGTGAAGACATCTCTCAAACAAACCCGTTGGGGAATAAAATAAAAAAATATATACTAGACCCAAAAAACGAGGAAATTCATTCTCGCTCTCCTCAGTTTCTTCTTTTTGGGGAATTCTCTCTCCTCAGTTTCTCTCTCTACAGAACCCTCTCCCATGAAATAAAATCCATGAGACCTCTCTCCATAGTCATTCACAACCAGCATGATTAAGATCTTTTTGACAATTTCAGTGAAATTGGAAAAAAATAATAATAATAATAAATAAATAAACTAAGAAAAAAATTGGGAAAAAAACCCATCAATGAAATAATAGTATTTCAGCCGAGGAAATTTGCCAGCATTGATGTCCGGGCAATTTTCTGGCAACGATTCAATTGTCTGGTTCTGGTTTTTGAGTACCTTTGTGTTGAATTGAATTTTGCAGTCCTCGTACTTCTTAAACCCGAAATAATGGGTTTAGAGATGGAGGCTTTTAAGAGAGAGAAAAAAAAAGAGAGGTTTTGCAGGCAGAGAGAGCTTTCTGTTTGAGAGAGACAAAGAAGAAATAGGATTTTAGAGAGAGGGAGTGTGTTTGCCTCAGTTTTGAGTTTATCTTTAGATGAAGAAGAAATAATACAGTAGTATTTATAATACTATTATTTTATTTGGTCTAATGTCGTTTATCATGGTGACACTCTTTCTTTCCAATCTCGAGAATCACTCGAGAATTGCTGGATCCTACGCTGAAAGGGGGGAGCTCTTGAGTGTTCTCACGCAAGTTACCTCGCAATAGAATTACTCTTTATTAAATGTCACCTTCTAAGTTCTAAGTTTGTATGCTTTTCGCAAACATCTTTAGTGAATTATAGAAATATAACTCACTCAAAAACTCCGTAAAGTATAAAGATAACCACCAGAATATTAGATTTATCAGAAGTTTTGTCCTAGACAAATAAAAATTAGTATTTTGGACTAGTTTTCCTCTGCACAACCCCAAATAAAAGTTCTACAATCAACAAAAGAATCCTACAAATTATTATGGTGAAATTATGTTTTTTATGCACTAAGGACAGTATTCTAGCAATCAATGTTCACCAATTTTAGATTAAGAACATATACATTATCATACACTACAAAGAGATTAGAATGCGACAAATCTAGACATGCTTTAACTCACCTGTAGTTCTGCACGGATACTGTTAAGAACTTCTTCCGTCATTCTGTCGAAGAAAAGAATTCCCTGAAAATTCATGAGCCATCTTAGAAATAAATTTTATAGGTGATCCAGGAAATGGGACCTAAGAAAAAATCAACCCCTGACGTACTTGTAGGCTACCTAAAGGCTTGTTTTATATTTTATTTCCTCATATCCATTTCAGATGTAATGCAATCTACATTGCTGGACCAGGCCATCAATCAGCTATATTTGCAAACATATCCAGATGTATAGGAACATTGTTGTTACCGGACGCTTAACGTCCCAAATATGATTGGGAATTATTAGGATAACCCTGACCACAAACTACAAGCCAATAAAAACAGCTACAGCTAAATCTAAAAAATTTATGATACAATTTTCTTGTTTCCAATGTTCAAGCATGTGTGCAGATCTCATCTGACCTGCTATTACAAAATTAAATGTCCTTAAGAGAAAATCTTTCGAGAGAGAATTCATCAGAACTAAACAAGCTTAAGTTTGCAACTGTCAGTTCCACATTTATTTCGCCAGAAATTTTAGGACTATTTATGTTTCATAACCAGCACAAGGATATTGGAATTTGAAGAAGGAACCTGCAAATGATCAAATTCATGCTGGAAAACGCGTGAAGGAAGGTCGGACAAGCTAACTGAAAATCTTGCACCAGTAACGTCCATTGCATCAATCTTTACTGCTTCTGGTCTCTGCAAGGTTAAAAAGAGAGATAGTCCAAAGAATAGCTCACATGCATTCTGATATGTGTAACTAAGGACCTTTGTGAATAGATTTGGATATGTGAATCAGATGCAAGTGTGTGTCTAAGTATTGGGCCACCTTGACTCCTATTAGGATATGAAGAGTTAGACTGAAATGCGTCCAAAACAACGACACAGGTATATATAGACATGTCCTGCACTTTTAAATATAATATATACTATATAATCGTATAACCTATGATATTATTATTCTTTAAAGATATAAAAATTATAATTTAAATCAACTGGAATATGGTGGAAAAAGGGTTTTCACTTTTCACCTATCTCAGAAGTAGAAAACCTCATCTGCTATCATATTTGAACAGATTCAAGCATTTTTCACCCTAGCCAAGGACTGGGAATAAATACCATTACTGACATATTTTGGATCACAGTCAACCATGATTAACATAAGCAAGAGACATCCACAAATGTGGCCAATAAACAGTTTTTAATACATGCTTCTGCATATCTACTTTTATGAGTGTGTGAATGTCTATGTATAAAGCATCATTCAGAAATCTACAGGAAGACTGTCACTGCATCTTCAATAGAGAGGAAAAAGTATGGATCTACACCAAAGAGAGTTGAATACTCAAATGAGCCATCCTTGTTGGCCAACCCTGTATTAATTTCAGCCTCAAAAGGATTGACAGCATAGAGAACAGTTAGTATTTTTAGTACCTCCACATCAGCATAGATCCCTGGAAAAGATAAGCACCCTTCGTTGAAAAGCACCACCTTTTTTGAATATTTGTTGACTCTTGGGTTTACAAGAACAATCTCCTCTCCCTCACCACGTTCACCAACTGGGTTAAACACCATCAGTTGCACATTAACTCCAACTTGTGGAGCTGAGAGCCCAATGCCATCAGTTCTGTGGACAAGGAAGCCAACAAGTATTGTTCACATTCCTGTAAATACCAAAATTCTTTTATAAGCATAAAATAACTAAAAATGGTATTATGAGGGGATCTAATTAATATATATATTTTTTTTGATAAGTGAGGGGATCTAATTAATATATAGCAAAGAATCATCATTATTTGGTTTTTTGGAACCCTCATAGTCCTGACCAACTTGATAATCAAGACACAGTTTTTAAAAGGAAAAAGAGAAAAGAAAGAGAGGAAACAAACTTCTAGTAGCAGCACACCTGCATGAAGTGCAGAAGATTGGATACCATTTAACACTGAAAAAAGTTATAAGGCACTATTTATATTAGATCTGTATATTTAAGCTAAAATGTGAATTGAACAACACTTGGCTCAATTCGTGTAGGCTCGTGAACACGTGAGAGTTGCTACCCTTACTAGTAGGTAACTTGTGATATAGCTTGACTGTCCATTTATAACTTTTGTGATGATGTTCAAAAGACGAAGAGGTTTTAGTGCCACTAATCACTATGATTTGGTAACTTCGCAAAGGAAAGGAGTCACAAAGGAATATATTGACACAATAGAGGACATCTATAGTTGTGGTATAAATATGGTTTGGATCGAGGGTAGGGGAAACAAGCGAATTTCTAATTACTGTAGACTTACATCAAGCGTCAGCATTAACCCTATACATGTTTGCCTTAGTTATGGATGAACTGACAAAACACACTCAAGATAAGTTTTATGGTGTATTCTATTTGCCAATGATATTGTTTATTCAATGCAACTAGAGAAGTAGTCAATGCCAAACTAGAGATTTGGAAGGAAACTCTAGAATAAATATGTTTTAAGATAAAAAGAATAAAATTGAATACATGGAGTGTAACTTTAGCAATTCTAGAAATATAAACGAGGTGGTAATTATTAAGAAGGGACAAGTGCAAAAACCCCTCTCTACTATTGATATAGTGCAAATAAGTCCTTGTGTAGTGTAAAACCCCCCTATACTATCAATTTGTTGCAAATACCCCCCTCGAGACTTAAAATGACTATAATGTCCTCATATCAGTAGAATAAATTAATATATAAAATGTAGGCCATGTAAAATAACCGTTTTGCCCCATGCTCTCTCCCTCCCAATTTCTCTCTCTAAAATGACTGTGTGCTATAGCAGCTTTGAGTTTTGTCTGTGAGAGAACTCTAACAAGGTGGTGATGGTTGTTTTGGGCAAAATAAGGATCAAATGGGATGATGGGTACACATACAAGGCCAGCCCTTTGGCACCCAAATATGAGTTTTGAGATTCCCAAAAAAAAAAAAATAGAAGCAGAGGTAATGGCAAACCACATCCAAGCAGTACTGTGGCCTGCATGCTTTCTCTGGCGACAACACATAGATACAATGATCCAACCGTCCAGCAAACTTCAGTTCTAGTTCCGGTGATCAGCTCCGACCAAACCGCAACAATCAAACCGAAGCACCAAGCTACAGAGACCCATGCCCGGCGAACTGCATTCAGGTTGTTTGGTGTGGAGGTGTCTCGGGTGGTCCTCGAAGGAGCCGAAAACTGAATGGTGTTGAAGAACCGAAGCAGCTTGAAAGGTGGTTAGGGCGGCAGAGAAGCCATGGAGATGAACCTGCAAATTTTTTATTTTTTAATTTCTCCCTACACTACCCCTCAAATCAAACCCCTCTACCAAAGGCCTTTTTTGGTGTGCTGAAGACAAGGCAATGCTCACATGTTGAGCATGCCGATTAGGATGCTATTGATTGCACAAAACGGGTACAGTTTTGAATGGGATTTCTAGTGTTTATATGTATATATTGAATGGGATTTGCAGGATGGTGATGGTGGTGGTAGCGGGTAGAGAAACAGAGCTAATGGGCGGCAGTGGTGGGTTGGTGGATTGCAGTGTGTGTATAATAGTATAGAGAGAGAAATAAGACATGAGAGAGGAAGAGAGAAATTGCAAAATGGGAGGAAAAAGGGTAATATCGGATTTTCATATTTACTTTTTGTCAAAAAGTGGTCAGAGGGGATTATTTGCACATTTTTTAGAAAAACAGGGACTGAAATGCTCAAGTTTAAAAAGGAGGGATCCATTCTGCACAAAACCTAACCTACAGGGGGGTTTTCTGCACTTAACCCTATTAGGAATCCCGAGGTAAAAAAAAAAGTAAAAATTTTCATTATTTAGGTTCAATTAATCACAATGGAGGATAAACTAGAGATAATGTTAATATAAATCAAGGTAGGATGAGTTAAATAGAGGAGTGCATTTAGTATATTGTGTGATTGGTGCGTTCCGTTAAGATTGAAAGGGAAGTTTTGGTGAACAACTATGGGACAAAATGTAAAGCCGCTAGTCTAACTGAAATGTGAATGTTGAGATGGATTTGTGGTATAAGTAGAAATGATCATATTCGTGAGATGGTTGGAGCAGCAACAATTGGAGATGAAATGAGAGAAGATCAGTTAAGATAATTTTGACATGCGTACAGATTACCTTTAAGTGCACCAGTTAGGAAGAATGACATAGTTAGTAAAGAACGATGTGATAACATACCATGACCTTGGATACAGCTTTCAAGTTCCCTAACATACTCTGTTTGTTCACATGTGTGGGTTTGGGGTGCGGTCAATTCACCGAGAGGATCACCCTCCCAATTTGAAGTTTTTCCTGAAAAGTTTAAACCTTATCGACTGTCACAACAGTCATGACAATAAATAGACGCACTAGTAGTGACCCCAAGTAGTTGGAAAAAAGGCTTTGGTTGTTGTTGTTGTAGTACTTGATGCAAGTACATACTTAGAGCCCATTTGGAATTGCTGTTAGAATAACGAAATGAAAGCGCTTTTAACAGTAGAATTGCTACAAAATTGTTGTCGATAAAAAGCATGTTTATGTTTTTGGTTATGCATTTTAAAAAACACTTTTTATACTTGAAGCATGTTTAAATTTGTATGGTAACAATGTTGTTTAAATCACTTTAATTACTAATTTACTATATTAGACATACACTAATAACAATGTTGTATGATATTAATTCACATGACATAATTGATGGTTAACATTGCATGATTACGAGTTATAAAACTAATTTAAATACACATTACAACTGAAAATTTGAATAGTTTAAAATTTTCACTCTAAGCAGGCTATAGTGTCTGCGTGGTTTATTAGATACAATGCGAAGATAAAATTGTATTTATAAAGAAAAGTGAGGGATTTAAGCCTCAGTGGAGGCATGTGTGTGTGAGTACCAACTAGTAACTACGAAAAAAAAAAAAAATTTGAGGGATTAAATTGTCAAAAAAAAAAAAGTAGTTACCTAACTCTGCCTAAAACACAATTCCAAACGCTACAATTTCTGGCTTCACGTAAGCATGCTTATTTTTAGGAAATCTCTACGGCCTAAACGCACTTTTTTAGCCACCAAACACATCTAACCTCAGTTTTTAAAAACCAAAGTGCTTTTTAGCTGTAGAGAAGCAATCCCAAACATGCACTTATACTTAACCTCAACTGAAAATCTAATATAAATAAGTTATCTTTGAAGTTTTTAAACAAATCAATATTCTTACAAATTATTTAGATGAAAATATAGAGACTGATCCATTTAGTCCGTACAATGACTGGAAATTCGAACAACCCACAAAGTGAACTGCATAAATGTCTGAAAAATGTTCTATTTTTTTTTTTTTTTTCTTTTTTTTCGATAACGGGTGTCCTGACAAATCCACGGGACCCGTGCAAGGGGACCCCACACGTATCGGGTAAGGCTCGGACTATGTCCACGGTGGTGGCCCCAAAGAATTCCTCGCACCTAGGCATAGTTGTCAAAGGCGCCTGAGGCGCAAGGCGCCTCCAGGCGCCATCTCAGCGCCTCTAGAACCTTAAGGCGCATGGGTTGCAGAAGGCGAGCGCCTTTTCTCTACAGGCGCAAGGCTAAAGGCGATATAAAGGCGCGCCTGATGGAAGTTGTAATATTTTAACTGTTTTCTTTTGTAACTTTTGTTTGTTTATTGACTTTATTGATTTGTTTTATTATTTTATTGTTTCTATTTTATTACTTTTGTAACACATTGTTACCACATTAAAAAAACAAAAAACAAAAGAAGAACAAACACCAAAACAAAGTCGGAGACAGAGGTCACAGAGGCGACGACTTGGACAACAGTTACTCTCGGTCTCGGATCTGTCATCTGTGTCAGATCTGCTGGATCTACGCCGTCGACGACGCCGCGACTCTGCCGGTACGTTCTCTCTCTTCTTCTTTTCTCTCTTCTTCTTCTCTTCTTCTTCTCTCCTCTTCCTTCTCTTCTTCTTCTCTCCTTCTCTTCTCGGATCTGTGATCTGTCTCAGTTTTTTTTTTTTTTTTTTTTTTTTTCTTTTCTTCTTCTTTTCTTCTCTCGACCGACTGTAGAGTCGAGTTTGGCAGTTTTTTTTTTTTATTATTCTTCTTTTTTTTCTCTATTTTTTTATTTTATTTTTTTTCTTGACTCTGGACTCTGTTCAAAGAAACTTTTTACTTTTATAGATTAATTCATATATTAAGTTTTCTTTTATTTAGGAATTGATGACCAATTAAGATCACATGTTTTTTTTTTTTTTTTTTATGAAAAGAAATTGTTATATATGGATGGAATTGATGAAGGGCCCGGGGAGAGGAGAGTGGAGACTCTGGACTGTGACAAATTTATTATGTTGCTATTTTAATCTTAAAATAACAGTTGCTAAACTTGCTATTTTATTTTTTATTTTTTTTTGGATTGTTGTAGCCTGTATGTGACAGATAGAATGTAATTCTTTTTCTTGGTTACGGGTTACCCAAAAAAAAAAAAAAAAAATTATTGAAATCAGAAGGTATTTAATTGATTTTCTTGTAAAATTTGCAGAGGAATACAAAGCTTCTAATCTATACAGAATTTACATAACACCAAAATACCAAATACAGAGAGATAGACTGATAGAGAGAAGAAGTTGTCCAGTTAACAACTAACACCAAATTGAAGTCAAATTTATTAACATCAAACTTAAGTTACTTAACACTGAAATACTGAATATATAAAAATTAGCTCCAAACCGATCTATCAGCTCTCTCCACGTAGAGAGTGACTGTGAGTCTGTGACGGATCTATTTCCCAATTTGAGCCAACACATTCTGCAGTTACTTTGCTTAATCACAATTGCAGCCAAATTGTATGCCTGTATTTGTTCCATTGAATCATTCTAACATGTTAAAATGAAATAATTAGTGAAGTGTACTCTAAAGTCTAAATTATAAAAGACAATCGCAAATTGTAAATAGCAACCGTTTACTGTTATATTATTTTCATATAATATAATTAGGTTCTATTATTGAAAGTATGTTTAGTTGTTATAGTTATAGAATGAATCATGGTGCTTATAGTTATAGAAAATTAGATTGATTTGCAGCTTACATAATTTCTATTGAACTTGATTGTAGTTTGAACTTTAAAAGATGCCTAGTGAAGGTTCAAGAAAGGATCCGGCATGGAATTACTCACATTTGGAGAATCCGAAAGATACAAATGCCGTCACTTGTAACTTCTGTGCAAAAGTTACAAAAGGAGGTATTTATCGGACTAAGCAACACTTAGCTGGAGGATATAGAAATGTGATTGCATGCACAAGATGCCCATCTAGTGTTAGAGAAGAAATCAAAGAGTACATGAGTAAGAAAAAGGAAGAAAAAGAACAAATGAATTTGTTACCTAGTGATGAGATTAATTTCATTGATGGAGAGGATGAGGATTATGTCATGGAAGTTAGCAATCGGGGAAAAAGGGTAGCTAGTGCAGGCAGTGCTAGTGTCAATTCCTCAAAGATGCAAAAGCAAAAGGGACCGATTGATTTATATTTCACTCCCAGACCGGAAATTATGGTACAAAAAAGAAAGGAGGGGGGAAAACAAACAGCCATTAATGATGCATGCAAGAAAGAGTTGAGAGGAAGAGCGTGTGCTACTTTTGCAAGGTGGATGTATGATGCAGGAATTGCATTCAATGCTGTTAAGTATGATAGCTTTGCCGAGGTTGTTGAAGCAATTGGACAATATGGTCCTGGCATGAAACCACCTAGTTATCATGAGGTGAGAGTTCCTTTGCTTAAGAAGGAATTGGATAATACCAATGCTTTGATGAATGACCATAGGGAGGAGTGGTCAAAATTTGGATGCTCATTAATGGCAGATGGGTGGACAGACAAGAGAGGGAGAACATTGCTTAATTTCCTAGTAAATAGTCCAAGGGGAAGCATGTTTATTGAGTCAATAGATACTTCTTCTTTTTCAAAGGATGGTGACAAGATGTTTGACCTACTTAATAAATTTGTGAACCGCATTGGAGTAGCAAATGTCATCCAAGTCGTCACAGATAGTGAGTCAAGCAATAAGTATGCCGGTAAGAATGTTCAATGTTTATAACTTTTAGAGTTTACATTCTTTACAAATATATAATTTAAATCAACTTTGATTTACTCATTCTCTTTATATCATTTTTTCTTTTTTCCGTTTGGTTTCAAATAGGGAGGATGTTAGAGAAAGAACACCCACATTTGTATTGGACCCCATGTGCTGCTCATTGCTTAGACTTGATGTTGGAAGACATTAGGAAAATACCGTCCATCTCTAGAACAATGCAAAGGGCAGTGGAGTTGAATAGTTATATTTATATGCGACCAAAGTTGTTGAACATTATGAGGAACTTTACTCACAAAAAGGAGTTGCTTAGGCCTGCTAAGACTCGATTTGCTACATGTTTCATCACATTATCAAGTATTCACAAGCAAAAGAATAACTTGAGAAAGATGTTTACTTCAGAAGAATGGAATCGTAGTAAATGGGCGAAAGAGGAAGCCGGTAAAAGAGTTGCTTCTTATGTTTTGATGCCTTCCTTTTGGAACAACATTGTCTTTAGCCTTAAGGTTTCCGGTCCTCTTATTCCGGTTTTGAGATTAGTTGATGGCGAGAGAAAGCCTCCCATGGGATACATTTATGCGGCTATGGATAGGGCTAAAGAAGCCATTGCAAAATCATTTGGGGGAGTAGAAGATAAATACTCAGATATTTTTGAAATAATTGATAAGAGGTGGAATGTTCAACTTCATCGCCCTTTGCATGCAGCAGGTTATTATTTGAACCCAGAATACTTTTATTCAAATTCGAAAATTGAAGACGATGAAGAGATTGCAAAGGGTTTGTATGCATGCATTGCAAGGTTAGTCCCGGATGTCAAAGACCAAGACAAAATTACTGAGGAGCTGTCCTTATATTCTAAAGCTGAGGGCCTCTTTGGTAATCCCTTTGCTATTAGACAGAGAAGTACACGAGGACCAGGTAAAGTAGTAAAGTATATTAAGTTAGTATAGCTAAGTGTTAAAATTATTTTGACAATAGAGTCGATAGAAAGATGAAGCTAAAGTTGCTAAACATCATTATTAATTTTTTTTTAATAGCTAATTGGTGGGAAGCTTATGGCAAGTCAACAAAACTTCTCCAAAAGTTTGCTATAAAGGTTTTAAGCCTTACTTGCAGCTCTTCTGGTTGTGAACGAAATTGGAGCGTGTTTGAGCATGTAAGTATATACTATTTAGTATTTACTAACTAGGTTTGTAATTTAATTGTTGAAAATTAAAATTTTAATTTTTTATACTTACTAGTTAAAGTTGAATTTATTGCAGCTTCATAACAAGAAAAGAAATAGGCTCGCTCAAACAACGTTGAATGATTTAGTGTTCATCAAATATAATAGAGCATTGAGACGTCGATATAATATGCGTGACACTCTTGATCCCATTTTACTAAATGACATTGATGAGAGCAACGAGTGGTTGACGGGGAGGATGGATGATTCTGATGCAGAACATGATCTAGTCTATGAAGATGATTCATTGACATGGGGTGATGTTGCTAATTTTGCTGGTATTGGAGAGGCAAGCAGGCCGCAACGGTCTACTAGATCAAAATCTAGTTCTAGTTCACGGTTACCAACAAAGGGAGCAGGAAGTTCTTCAGTTCGACTTGTGGATGAGGATGAGGATAATTCAGATGAGATAGAAGAGGATCCTGAGAATTATGAATCATTTAGTGACGATCAAAATGATGTTATGCTTATTGATGACGAGGATGATATTTAGATTCATTGGTGTTGTCTTCTTAGGAAGAATGATGTTTATGTTTGTTTTAGTTTTATCTTATACTTCTCCTTAGTTGACTTTTGCATCTTTATGTTAATATGTTTGATTATTCACTGTTTTGAACTCAAGTACTTGATTTACTTGGTTTTGGCATCTTTATGTTGAATATTTAACTTAAGTAATTCATTTAGTTGACTTTTACATCTTTCTATATACTATTGCATGATTTGCATCTTTAATACTTTATTGGGTGGGTTTCGGTTTTTTTTTTTTTCCAACGTGCGCCTTGCTTCAGTCGGGCGCGCGCCTCACCTTGCGCCTTGCGCCTCAGGCTCCAGGAGGCATTTGCGCTTTTATGCGCCTTGAGCCTTTAACAACTATGCACCTAGGAGGAATTGAACTTGATACCTAAAGCCTCATGAGGCTCCAAGGCCTGAGTCTTTTCCACTAGGCCAACCCCTTGGGGTTAAAAATAAAAATAAAAAAATGCTCTATTGTTAAAACATCAAACCACTATAAGGGTACTGAACTGAAGTACTCGAAACAAATATTCTTCTCATAAGCAAATCAAACATGTGATAAATTACAATAAAACTCATACTAGCAGAGCAATATGTAATAAATAAACCTTACTTGTACATTATGTCGAACATCTCATCTGCTAACTTCTTCAAATTATCATCAAACGTATCAATTTTCTTATTCTTTCCTCTCAGTCTAGGATCTGGATATTCCACAATTTTGAGTGGTGCTTCAAAGTACAGATCAGCAGCTAAATAAAATAAAATAAATAAATGAAGTCAATTCAGTTGGGTTTTTGCCAATAAAACACACAAAAAGGGAACAAAAACAGAAATTTGAAAATCGTTTTTTTTTTTATTTCCTTCTTCAGGAAACTAGAAAACTCTAACTAAGGCCCCATCGAACGGAGATTTAAATAAATTTTTTCTCGGTCTGAAAGGATAAGAATACTGAGATTCAGGGTTATATTGTTATTTCAGATGAAAATAAAATAAAATCATAGTAACAATCCAAGAAGGGAATCCAAGAAGGGAAGAAGTTGAGTTTGCTTACGAGAAGCTACTTCGACTCCTTTGAACGAGAAGCCTCGCTTGGCCTGGGCTTGGACTGCCATTAACGGACCTTGGGACCGGTTTCGGGTAGAGATGTGACCGCCGATTGAGGTGAATCGGCGGAGACTAGAGGGAAGACTAGTCCGGTGACAAAGAAATGGGAGGAGAGCGTGAGAGAGTGGCGACGAGTGCAACCTAGCCGCACAAGCCATTATCACACGAATGGCAGAAACAAGGGTCACGCGAGCGCCACTGACCAACAGTTGCGAGCGGCGTGGCTTAGTGGGTGCGTCATTTGCCCTACATTGCCCCCTGCCGTTATATAAAGTAATGGGATTATCTTTTATTTTTTATTTTAGCGCAAATTGCATAAAAGCCCTTTACTTTTCATTTTTGTCAACAAACCTTCATAAATAAAAAAGTTGACATAAAACCCCCTTATAATGATGTAAATGCCCTTTAATATAAATTTTAAAGTTTTTTTTTTTTTTTTTCCTTTTTTTCCTTTTTAATTTTTTAAATAATAGAATTTTAAAAAAATTAAAAAAATACACACATTAAAGTGAAGTTATAAGACAAAAATACCCTTTAATGTAATTTAAGAAAATTTAAGTTGTCTTAAAATGATTTTCATTTTAGGTTTTCTTTTTTATTTAAATTTTTGTTATAAAAAAATTAAGAAAAAAAAGGTATTTTCATTTTCTTATAAATGCAACATTAAAAAAAAATTTCAAAAAAAAAGTTAACACCAGTGTGCCAAAGGAGTTATTTATATTAATTTAAATTTTATATTAAGATACATTTTTTTCTTAAATTTATATTAAGGGGCATTTGTGTCATAATAACATCACAATTTAGAAGGGTTTTATGTTAACTTTTTTCAATAGTGATTTTTTTAATATAAATTGAAAGTAGATGAGGGTTTTATGCATTTTATCCTTTATTTTACTAGTAAAATATATAGGATACATTGTATATAAATCTAGTGTTCCATTTGGTAGAAATGGCGGAGGATGGAGGAAGAGTTACATCGTTTGGTAAAAAGGAAGAGAAAAGAAGATTAATTAGTAGGAAAATGCATTTTACAATTTTTAATTTCTGATTTTATCTTTAATTAGGTGATGTTTAGTTGCCAGTTTTTTTGAAATTTGATCTTGAATCTAATAATATGGCAATAGCTAAAAAGACATTAATATCCTCTAATTTAATTCATATTACACTGTAGTCTTTTATGCATTTGTAATTCCTACTTTAGCAAACAAAACTAAACAAATTTGTCAATTGAGAGGAAAAGAAAATGACGAATAATTACAATAGGATTTCTCTCTCTATTTTTAATTTGTTTTCATCTACTAATCTTTTTTAATATATATACAAGTGTGTATATATATATATATATACTATTATTAAATGTGCAAAGTGTTTCAGTATTTCTGTATTTATTTACTTATATAAAAATTATTTATTAATTGACAAAAAAATAGTTTTTTATAAAAAATACTTATTAATTGATAAAAAAATAATTTTTTAAAAAATAATTTCTATAAAACTCTAAAAATTACCTAATAAAATAAATCACAATAAAAATATTTATTAATTGATATAAAAAAATAGTGATTTTTTATGAATAATTATCACAATATAACCGGCCCGGTCCAGTTATGATTATATCATTATCTAAAAAGAATAGTTATTTTTTATGAATAATTATCATAAGATAACCCGCCTGGTCTAGTTATTATTATATCATTATCATGGGAGGACACATGTCATTATCTTATTAATCCAATAAGCCTATAAATAGAGGCACAGAGGAAGGGGTACAGAAATTGAGAATTTTAGAAATCCATAATTTCAGGCTAAAATACAAAAGCACTGCCAAATAATTTTAGTATTTATTTATTTATATAAAAAAATATTTATTAATTAATTTAAAAAGAATTTAGTATTTCAGTATTTATATATAAAATATTTATTAATTGATAAAAAAATAGTTTTTTATAAAAAATATTTATAAATTGACAAAAAAATAGTTTTTATATAAATAGTTTCTATAAAACTCTAAAAATTACCTAATAAAATCAATCACAATAAAGTATTTATTAATTGATATAAAAATAATAGTTTATTTTTTATGGATAATTATTGTGATATAAATTGCCGGTCCAATTATGATTATATTATTATCTAAAAATAATAGTTATTTTTTATGGATAATTACACAATATAACCAGCACAATCCAGTTATGATTATATCATTATCAAGGGAGAACACGTGTCATCATCGTATTAATCCAAAAGGCATGGAGAAGGAGGAATGGGTACAAAAATTGAGAATTCTATAAATCCAGAATTCTAGGTTAAAATACAAACTTGTGTCAAAGAGTTTTAATATTTATTAATATATATAAAAAGAGTTTTTATCTATACAATTATTAAATGTGTAAAGAGTTTCGGTATTTATTTATTTGTATAAAAAAAATGTTTATTAACTGATGATATGAAAAGAGTTTTTATAAAAATAAATAATAAAAAAACCCCATAAAACTAAAATCTAACTAATAAAATTTAAATTAACATATTTATCTATTTATTATTATGAATTTAAAAAAAATATATATATATATAATTCGACGAGATTTATTAAAATAAAAAATATTTATTAATTGATATATAAAATAAAATAATTTTTCTAAAACTCTTCCACAAATTAGCTTTTATTATGAGTTTCTTAATAAAATTAAGTCTAATTAGACAAGGAAATATTTACAGAAAATATAATAATTTCTATAAAATTCTAAGACAAATTACTTATTTTATTTTTAATAAAACTCTATCACATCGGACAAATATATATTTAAAGAATTTCTATGAAACTCCAACACAAATTACCAATTTATCTATTAATTATGAGTTTTTTAATAAAAAGAAATCTAATTATACAAGTATCATTAATAAAAATTTATTTATTAATTGATATGGATATAATTCGATGTTTTATTCAATAAATTTTTTAAAAATTTGAAAAAAAAATGAAAACAAAAATTACAAATATAGATACATTAGGATATGATGTGTTATTTTAGTTAAAAATTCGTCCCTAAATATGAATGTCTATGTATCATTTCTCATTTTATAAATGAAAATGGATTAGGAGGATGATGAAATAAATTTTGTCATATTAATAATTTTTATAAAAATAATTTATATAAAATATTAAAAATTACTTAATAAAATCAATCACGCTAAAATATTTATCGATTGATGTAAAAAGAATAGTTATTTTTTATGGATAGTTATCACAATATAACCGGGTGATCAGTTATGATTATGTCATTATAGAAGGACACATGTCATCATCCTATTAATCCAAGAAGCCTATAAATAGAGGTATGAAGGAAAGAGAATTATAGAAATAAAGAATTCCAAGGTAAAATATAGATGTTTTGTCAAAGAGTTTCATTATTTGTTTTAAAAAATATTTATTAATTGATATAAAAATAGTTTTTATCTATACAATTATTAAATGTGCAAAGAGTTTCAGTATTTAAGTATTTATTTACCTATATAAAAAATATTTATTAATTGATACGAAAAGAGTTTTTATAAATAAAAAAAAAACTCAAAAAAACTCTAAAATCTAACTAATAATATTTAAATTAACCTATTTATCTATTCATTATTATGAATTTTTTAATAAAAGAAAATTTAATTAGATAAGAATTATTAATATAAAAAATATTTATTAATTGATATATAAATGAAATAATTTTTCTAAAACTCTAACACAAATTAGTTTTTATTATGAGTTTTTCAAGAAAATTAAATCTAATTAGACAATGATATATTTAAAGAAAATAAAATAATTTCTATGAAACTCTATCACAAATTACCTATTTTATTTTCAATAAAACTCTATGACAATAGTCAAATATATATTTAAAGAGTTTCTGTAAAACTGTAACACAAATTACCTATTTATCTATTTATTATTAGTTTTTCAATAAAATAAAATCTAATTATACAATTATTATTAATATAAAAAATTATTTATTAATTAATATAAGAAGTGATTTTAAAAGAGTTTATATAAAATTCAAACACAAATTACATATTTATCTATTTATTATGAGTTTTTTTTAATAAAATTAAATCTACTTATCTATTTATTATGAGTTTTATAATAAAAATATTTATTAATTGATATGGATATAATTTGATGTTTTATTTAATAAATTTTTGAAAAAAATAACGAAAAAAAAAATTACAAATATAGATACATTAGGACACGATATGTTATTTTTGTTAAAAATTCAGCACTGAATATAAATGTATATGTATCATTTCTCATTTTATCAATGAAAATGGATTAGGAAGATGATGAAATAAATTTTGTCATATTAATAGTTTTTATAAAAATAGTTTCTATAAAACTTTAAAAATTACCTAATAAAATAATTATAATAAAATATTTATTAATTGATATAAAAAGAATAGTTATTTTTTATGGATAATTATCACAATATAATTGGCCCGCCCAGTTATGATTATGTCATTGTCAAGAGAAGACACATCTTATCATCCTATTAATTCAATAAGCCTGTAAATAGAGGCATGGATGAAAGAGAAAGGGGTATACAAATTTAGAATTATAGAAATCCAAAATTTCAGAGTAAAATACAGAAGCTCTGCCAAAAAGTTTCAGAAATTTTTTTTATTAATTGATATAAAAAGAGTTTTTATCTGTACAAGTATGAAATGTGTAAAGAGTTTCAGTATTTATTTATTTATATATAAAAATATTTATTAATTGATGATCTGGAAAGAGTTTTCATTAAAAAAAGAAATCTATAAAACTCTAAAATCGAACTAATAAAATTTAAATTAACGTATTTATCTATTTATTATTATGAATTTTTTCTTGATTCGAGTTTTATTATTAAAAATAAATCTAACTAGACAATGATATATTTAAGGAAAATAAAATAATTTATATAAAATTCTATCACAAATTATCTATTTTATTTTCTATAAAACTCTATCATATTAGACAATGGTTTATTGAAATAAAATAAAACATAGGGTCTTCCAAAAAAACCACAAACTCCATATTAATAGAATTGAATTTCTATTGTAAATTTAAAATTATACTAAATTTCAAATTACCTAATAAAATTCAAATTACAAATTACATAATAAAATCCAAATTACCTAAAAGAATTTATTACGTTGCAAAACTCAAATATTTCAGTATTAAAATAAAAAATATTAATTAATAAAATATAAATATTTCAGTATTAATATAAAAACCTAAAAGAATTTATTAGTTTACAAAACTCAAACTCTACCACCAATTTCAAAATATTTCAGTATTTATTTATTAATATAAAAAATATTTCTTAATTAATATAAAAAGATTGACAAAAAATTACAATTTTTTGTAAGGTTTATTTTTACAAGCTTCAAATAAATAATTATAAAAAAAAAATATGAAAAAAAATTCTATAAGTTATAAAACATTCACCATGTGCATCGCACGTTTTCTCGTAGTATATATATATTTTATCTTATACACTTTTTTCGTTTTTCAACAATTCTATACCTTTGTTGGGTATGTTTTTCGTTTTTCAACAATTCTATACCTTTGTTGGGTATGTTTTTAAAATTTAATCGTAATTAGAAAATAATAAATCAAAATATAATTATAAAAAGTTTTAAGTAAATTATGTAAATTAGGATTCTTATTTACTAAAAAGAGATCTTTAATTATTTAAATATTTAATATCTATAATCATAAGTTTTACTATTTTTTCACTTTTTCCTAAATTAAAAAAATTATTTTTAAAATATACAAAACAGCCAAATAAACTGACTAACTAAGTAATCACCTAATTTAAGATAAAATAAAAAATTAAAATTTGTGAAGTATAGCATTTTCCTATACTTTATTATGTGTCTATATATATATATATATATATTTGTGTAAGGATATCATATCTGCTTTATATGGCATGTATATATTATTGTTGCTTGAAGTAAATTAGTAAACCTTGTTTCACCAAAGCTGTTTGGGGCAAAGCTGGGGAGAGAGATAGATTAAGAGGGAGATAAACAATTTCAATGTGACAAATTAGCTGGAGGCCAATTTGGGATAGGAGGGAGATTCAAAAGTGTGGGATTTGTGTTGTGATATTAATTTGAACCCGTTAAGCCATTAAAAATGGGTTGATCCATTTTTTTGGTTTAATTTTTAATTATTAAACTTTGGGTTACTTATCCAAATTTTGTTGGCCTACATCAACAATAAGAAAAATATTCCTCTTACGGAGTAGGAGGCAAGTATTATCATTGATACTTTAAATTTTAGATGAGTAAAGATGGTACTTTAAAACAAGATTATTGGATCGGGAATTTGAATTAATTAAAAAAAAAGAAGAGTAATGCTCTCGAGAAAGCTATGTCATAAGAAGAGTCATGAATTATTCATAATTAATCATTGAATTGAGACAATTTTTTTTTTAATACATGTAATAAATTATTTAATATATCTTTCAATTTATTAACTAAAACAAGAACTCATGCTATGGGAGCTCTATTGCTTATTAAAATTTTGTTTATAGCAAGATTATTTTTAATCTATTATTGGTACATGTGCTAAAACAATAAACACCTTAAATAAAGCAAAACTTGAAGAAAAAAACAAATTTTTTTTTTTTTTTTTTTTTGCAAAATATACATATATTACTACTATATAGTATTATTTTAATAACTTATTAGGATTTTCTATCTATTATAATTTGGACATTTATCATGTGAAAAAGTATATTGTATAGCCATGTAAAGCGGCTATTTTCATGATTTTAACTCACCAGACTCACCCTCATAACATGATCCGACTAACTTGTTTAATAAATTGACAAAGGCTAATACATATGACAAGATACTAATTAATAAATATGTCTAAATATTTTTCAGATGTGTTCGGCCGTATAAATTAAAGTTTTGAAATTAAAATTTGTGAAATTAAAAAATAATTTAATTTATTTTTGTGAGTTACTTTTTTTTTTTTATTTTACAAATTTTAATTTATAAATTACAATTTTATGAAACCAAACACACTAACACGATACAATTAATTAATGTCACAATTTGGCCAAAGCGTTACCTATCTCAATTGGAACGAGTTAAACCAAAATTCCACTAATTTTGTACTTATCAGAATTGTGTTGCATCTTTTGTTAGATATTATCACCGGGTCCAGTTATACCAGTAAAAGCATTTGCTCTAAAATGATTAATGGAAAATAAAAAATAAAAAAATGGTATTGGCATTGAGAAAGCTAATAGGATAAGTTTTGTTCAATGGCATTTTATAGACCACCACCCAAAGGATGACTAGTTCCAAACCACATATTGTTGACACAAAATTTTCATTGGTATTATTATTTTTATATATTTTATTCAAAAAATGATACTTGTACAGAATTGCTAAAACTATTATTTTAAATAATTAATTATGCAACAAAAAAAGAAATAGAATCCTACAATATAAATAACTAATTAAAAACTACTCTGTTAAACAATTTACGGCAAGTATTCAGTATGAATATTACTATTCATTTTATTCTAAGAATAAAAATAATGTTTTGTGGAGAATTCTTTTATATTTTTTAGGCCAGGGGCTTTTAAAATTTTTTTTTGAAAATTTTACTTGATCAGTTATCATTTTCATCATTTTTCTTTTTGCTTCTCCTTATTATATTATTCTTCAAAAAAAATATTTTCCTTTTTTTTTTTTTTTTTAAGAGATCATCATTATTAAAATAGTAGATAAATTACGTGAGGTTGTGAATCAAAGTTCAAATCCATTTGTCTTTGAAAAGACAACGGTTCTCGTCGTCGTTTTATCGAAAATAAACAATCAACCAGCCAGCTTTATCTTGCTTCCATTGGCTGCTACATTTTTATTTAATAAAAAGGTCGTTGCTACTGTGGAGTATACATTAAAAACTAACCCTGGTTAAATCGGGCTGGTCATTAAATAAGGTAGAGAGAGAAAGATTGACATCATCCCTCGAAGGAAAACCGCGTCTCTCTCTCTCGCTGTGCCCTTCCTTTACATTTGATCCTTGTTTGAAGCTCTCCAGAGGTTAGTCTTCTTTTTCTCCGTCTCTTATCGCATCGATTCAAGCCATACACAAACCCGTTGCAGATCTTTGTTGTTCTCAACAGGTAGGATCTGCAGTGTACAATTTGAATTTCGTCCTTATATATATATATATATGTAGTATATGAACATCTATTCGATCATTTATATTGATTTATTGTTTTCACTTTTCTACTTCGTTTAGCCGTTCTTGAAATTGGTCTGATACGATCCGAGTTTAATTTCATGCGCTCTAGTATTGGTGGATGAAAATTCACGCTAACTATATATCACTATATAGATCTGTCGATTTTATCGTTCCGTGATTTGAACGTGTCTCTGAAATGCTTTGAATGCAATTTGGACTATATCGAGGTTAATGAGGTTCGTTAATCGGATCGCATATGGATTTTAGGAGTTTCGCTATCATTTGCTTTGGGATAATTATGATTTATGCTTAAATATTCAAAAATGTATTCCAATTTTGAGTTTTTCTGGTAAGGGTGTTTCATTGTAGATTGTAGGTCACGGTTTTGAATAGGGAACCACGTTTAGTGGTGGGAGCGCCCTTTTCGTTCTGATCGGAGCTAGAAAATTCTACGATGGGCGGCCTTAAAAAATAACAAGCTCCAAAGTATCATAATAAATAAAATAACTTAACATTAATTGATATTTTCAATGCGTGCATTTACATCTGGTCTTGATGAGTTTTCAAATTTCTGTATAATAGTTTTAATTTTATGCTAAGGAATCTCCCTTCTAAAACATATACAATCAAACTATCACGCATCCATTGATCCTTCATCCAATTGTGCAGTCAAATTCCTCATAATATTCATAGCAAGGAATGCCTTCTCTAACAGATGCTAGAGAGTGAGAAAACTAGAGAGAGAGAGAGAGATGACTACCTAATTACCTGTGGGGGCAATGATATATAGTGGGATATTTTCAAAAATTAAGTGGGAGTATTTTTAAAATTTTAACAAAAACTACAGGTTGTAGTGTAAAAAAAAATAAAATTCTGTGGGGATGGGCGCCCCCCACTCGGCCCTTGGTACATCTGTGCCTGCTTTTTATGTTAGTGCTGATGCCGTCCAACACATCTTTCTCTTGACAAAAATGTTTAATATGTTCTGGCATTCTAAGATTTTTTTTTTTACCTTCTCTATTTGGTGTAGTGCCTATGTCTGTACTCGGATTTTTTGTTGCTGATTTTTTTATTTTCTTATATGTCAGTCTCGAGTGATCCAGAATCCACTGAAGCAAGACAGAGATGGGGCTGACATTCACGAAGCTTTTTAGCAGGCTTTTTGCCAAGAAAGAGATGCGCATTCTGATGGTAGGTCTTGATGCTGCGGGTAAGACTACCATCCTGTACAAGTTCAAACTTGGAGAAATTGTCACGACAATCCCGACCATTGGTAAGTCCAGACTGGGACATTAACAATTAAAATTTCTACTGTATTAATTATTGGTTAGTTTTATGGAAGAATTTTCTTTTTTAATCAGTCTGTGTTTTCCAATTTTCTGATTAATTTTACTTCGAAGCATAAATCATTTGGGTTATAATTTGTGCCAGTTTTTTGTTGGTTGGTGTATTATTTATATGTTGTTTTTGATCTAGTCATTTGAATGAGCTATGGTAATTCTTCTGTTAAAGCAGGAGATACTTTACATTTTTTTATTTGACCATAGTTTAAGGTTTTGGATCAGGGTATTTCATATAGCACTAGTTATTAGTTGTGATGGGGAAAATTGTATGAATTGTGCTTATTGCATGTAAATCTTTTTTTTTTGATAAGTATTGCATGTAAATCTTTTTGAAAGATGAAATCAAATTAAGGGCTATATATATTACAGAGAGAGAAAAAACTATACATGCAATATTGAGTTTTTTAAAATGTAAAGTGATATGTTGGATAACACTAACTTGTTAAATGCGATGGGGAAAAGTTGTATGAAATATGCTTTATTGAGAATATAATTTTTTGAACATTGACGTTAAACTTATGGATATATTACTGATGTTTAATGTCTGGAAGTGAATGACATGAATAATGAGAGTAGTACCAAATGGACCCTCATAGTGGACAGGTCTGCAGCTTTAGAAAATTATTGGCATAGGCAAATACAAGTGATTGTGGGTAATGCAATAGAGTCGTCATTTTTTTTTTTCTTTTTCTTTTTTTTGTTGTTCTTGTTAGTGGTGTTAGTTTTATGGTATCTTATGCATCTTTTGGTCAAAGCATGAATTGTTGCAAATTTTTTTGTTGAATTGTAAGGGTGCAATTAGCATCGATTCTAGACGAATGAATGAGAAAGTCAAATTGGTAAGTTTGTCGGGATCGGGATTCTACATAGGATCAGTGAAGGATCTGTAGACTTGGATCGAGAATTGTATGATCCTATAAAATTAGTAGAAAAACAATTCAAAATTTTTCAAAGAAACTATCTCTAAAATAAATAAAAATAAGGACAAAACATGAAAAAAAAAAGAAAAAGAAATATCACAACATTTGTAACATGCAATTTACAGGGAAAAAATGCCAACTCAACTAATTCATGGCCTCTAATTTCATCCATAATCCCAAAACTACCCCCCAAAATAAATAACTGACCAATCGGAGTCTATATCTCCAACGAATGGTTCTGCTCCTGTATTTCCCACAGCTATCCCAGCTATTTGTGGTTGAACTCGGAAAACTCGATCCACAGGCTATGGATCCAAATCATAAACTCGACATGGGATTGCCACAAAAACCGGCTTTGAATCTAGTTAAGTTGCACTTGCCACCTTAGCTGAGGCATATGGAACTACGGATGAACCAGAGCTCCTATAAACACTAGCTGTTGAGACAGATGAAACCTAGCTTTCTCTATAGACATTTTTCTGTTTTGTTTCCATCGATATACTTTCTCTCTTTAGGCATATCCCACAAACATGGAAAGTGATTTGGTCCAAAGAGCAGTATCTAGGGTTCAGTCATTGCTAGTGGCAAAGCTGGTGGTGGCTCGATCCCACGCGTCAGAAGCTCAAGCACAACAGGCTGAGCCCAAGGCCATTGAGAGAGAATATTACACAATAGAGAGACCTAGAAGGATTTTGTTGGAGGTTTATCACCCTCGCCAGAAGTTGCTGATCCTCACTGGAGGTCATCCGATGTTGTTTGACACAAATTGCCACACTTTGCGATTGAAAGAGACTTTGGAGACTCGTGCCCTAGTCTAAAGTCATGTTTTTATAGGTTATTTGTTTTTTTGTTGCATGTTGGCTTAAAAAGTTGAGCTATATGCTTTAAATAGCCAAAAAACCCCATAAAACCTAATGACAGCCCAACAAACTCCAAAAAACAGCCCTCATAGGTCAATGAAGTATAATTTGTGGAATCGTGTAAAATCGCCCGATCCTACGATCCCACACACGATCCTGCCGAGTCTACAACTATTCTATTTGCAAACGATTTTCTATCTGATATGGATTGATTTCTCACTACTGGGCGATCCTAGATCCAGATTGCGATTTTGACAACCATGGCACTGATATGGTTAATGTTAAAGGCGCTGCTAGCATGAGGGGAACACTGATTCATAAAAAAAGGATGATTCATCTAGCCAACTGCAAGTAGTTGTAAAAAAGGCTTTGCTTCTTGTTGCTGTAGTTATACATGATTTCTTTTTAGGTACTTGGATCATTTTAGATCTTTAGTGATCTTATAATACGAGCTGAGATTGATGGAATTGGTAAAAAAGTGTATGTTTAGCAGAAAAGTTTCATAATTGCCATTTACTGTTTATGGAATGCTTCTTAGTCATAACTTCTTCTTAATCAAGCTGCATTATTTATATTTTTAAGGAAAAGAATTTAAAGGAGTTCATTCTTGCAGGATTTAATGTGGAGACAGTGGAATATAAGAACATCAGCTTCACTGTTTGGGATGTTGGTGGTCAGGACAAGGTGCACATTTTCTTTTTCTTTTCTCTTTTCCAAATTAATAATTCATGTTTCCCTTACTACATATATTTAAAGTTTACACGTGGACATGTTTTTATTCAATTTGTTGATTTAAACCCACATTTCTTGCTCCAACCCAAATGAACATTCAACAAATTGGATGAGGCTTGATAAAATTTGAAATGCTTCAAGGAAAGTTAAAAGAATGAATTTGAGCATTTTTGTATTGTATGGGAGAGTTGCACAGTGGTATGTAGCATATCATCCTTTCTATAATGGCTTAAATCTGTCTTTTGGTTGTAATGCATCATTGGTTAGTATTATGTTATATTATGCTTTATGTAGCAGAAAACCGTTACACCTTGTCTGGTCTCTTATCTGCCTATTTTTGAAGTAAATAGTAATGCACTTTTTTTAGTCATCCAAGCTGTTTGCTTTGATCCAACCATGGATGTATATGCATGTTCATTATATGTTACACCGAATGTAGAGTGGGTATGTCCTGTATATTGTAGCATATCTTGTGATTCTTTATTAGGGTATAATCATTACTCTTTGAACTATGGTAATGGTAAAATTGTATTGGGATTTCTTTTTAACTTTTATTCTGTCTAAAGAGTAACCAATGTACTTTCTTTGCAACATAGATCCGTCCATTGTGGAGGCATTACTTTCAAAACACTCAGGGTCTTATATTTGTGGTAGATAGCAATGATAGAGATCGAGTTGTTGAGGCAAGGGATGAGCTGCATAGGATGTTGAATGAGGTACATTACTGCTGTTTATGCTATAAATCTTGGATATTTTGTTGATTGTCACATAGCAGTTGGTGCCTTTGGTAACATTGGATGGCTGTTGTTTACTATGCCATTTGGCCGTTTCTGAATGGGTTGGTAAGTAGTCCATTATGTGCTTCATGTTGGAGAACTTTCTAGTCAATTATAGTTCTAGTCCATTATAGTTCTCTGTGTATTATCAATACTGGTATATTAAGCAAGGCTTTGATTTGCTCTAACTTGGTATATACTTCTGGTAATATCTAAATTATGTTCCTAAAATTTTAAATTTAAAGTAACATAATCTTGGAAAAGAAGTCATATTTGGACAATGTGGTATATCATAATTTTATATAATGATGAAAGTGAATAAAAGCAGTTACTCTATCTCATTTGTCCTTATCATGTAAATTTCTTGCCTGCTTAAACTATGTTTGCTGCATCGCTTTGTTTAGATTAAAGGATTGAGTCTTATATCCTGTTTTGAGGTATTTGCTGCATCGCCTTGTTATTTGTTATTGAATTTGTGTATTTTATGTATGTATGTCTCTATAAGTTGAGAGACCTCTATATAATTTCTGTATTAGTTTGTTCCATTTTGGTTAAGTAGGACAAAAGGGGTTTATAACTAGAATCTTTTAGTACAAGAGTTTGATTTGTTAATGTTACTCTGTTCCAGGATGAACTGAGAGATGCTGTTTTGCTCGTCTTTGCAAACAAACAAGATCTACCCAATGCAATGAATGCTGCGGAAATAACTGACAAGCTTGGTCTGCATTCACTCCGCCAACGCCATTGGTAAAGTTTCTTTTTTTCTTTCCTTGGCATTGCAATAGTCTATGTCTATGTACAGCACTAATTTCAACATCTTTGATGTTCACAAAAAGCATGGACTTGTCACCTATGCTACATAGACTCTTTGAAAATGCTTGACCGTGTAGGTCACTCAACGTTGGGACATGGGTATGTGATGTGTTTTCCACATATATGAATAGACAGACATCTACAATATTTAAAGTTCATTATATAATTGTATATAAAACTCTCTTATTATGTTCCTTTTCTTGTCTTATTGTTTCAAAGCGAGTGAAAACATTATTTCACTCTAAAAAATAATCTGAAATATTGAACAATATAAATATTTAGCCATAGTCAACAATTAAATCACATATATATTTTTTATAATTACTGTAGGCTTACATCAAAGGTCAGTATTTAGTCCATATCCTTTTTTGTCTTAATTATGGATGAACTGACGAGACACATTTATATGTTGTTGATATTGTTTTAGTGGTTGAAACTAGAGCAAGTGCTAAATTGGTAATTTGGAGGGAAGTTCTAGAATTTTAAAGGTTAAAAAGAAGTAGAAAACTGATATATGTAGTGTAACTTTGGTAGATCTAGAAATAGAAATACAAATAAAGATGTATTCGTGAAGTGTAAAGAAGTGAACATTTCCATCATTTAGGCTTAGTTATTCATAATGAAGGAGAAATTGGAGATGAGCCAGGATGAGCTAAATGGATAAGTGCTTAGTGTAAAGAAGTAAATCTAGTATTTTTGGTGTAACCGGCATATTTCCACTAAGATTGAAAGGAAAATTCTAGTGTTGGGCAACTAAAAAACATGTGTAAAGTGAGTGGCAGAAATGCAAATCTTAAGATGGATGTGCAGTAAGATGAGAAATGATAGAACTAGAAATGAATACATTCACGCGTTGGTTGAAGTAGCACTAATTGGAAATAAAAATGAGAGTGAGTTTATTAAGATGGTTTTGACATGTTAGGGGAAGGAGAAGACCAAAGCTAACGTGGGTAGAGGTAGTAAGGAATGATTTGATAAAATGCTGTTTGACTGAGGCTTTGGCCTTAAATAGATCAGAATTGGACATGCATCTACAATATTTCAAAGTTTATCATATAATCGTACATAAAACGATTTTGGAGATTTGATGAAGTCAATGCCTTAGACACACATGTTCATTCGATACACTTACGCGAGTCTATGTAAAATAGCTCGTCACTACCACTTTGATGTAGGACAAAGAACAGGCTCAAATAGAAGAAAGCAAATAAGAGTTGTAGGCTGGAAATTCAGAAAACAAAGCTAAGATTCAAGGGGTTGTTAGTAGATCACTCACAAGAAATCTCAAAAGATATTTTGTTATTCATTCATTGGCTGCGTAATCAGAATTACATAGTATCCTTTTTATAATAAAGGATGACCCTTGGATTACCCTACAATGGAGGTAAACAAAAATTGACTCTAGCTTAGTAAAGTAGCAAATAACTTAATTGATGCAATTTACCAAAACAATGCAATTTCACCATAATTAATGCAATTACCAAAATAATGCAATTTGACCAAACCCACCCCCTAATTATGCAAGACTCCAAGTGGACCCCCCATTGTTTAGTATGTGCCAAATTAAGGTTTGAGCCTTAGAACCCTCCTTGCAACGCCATTTATATACTTTAAAAGGCTGCTGCCACGGTTCTCTACCACAGTTTGGCTCATTTGTTTAGATGGCGCAGAACTTGCCACTTGGCCAAGTATTTTATGTAATAATTCGATTTCACCGAAAATGGACTTTAATAGTTTTATATATGTATATACCTCTTCCCTTTGTGGTTTTTTACCTTGATATGTGCTGAATATGTGCTAAAGAATATCATGAGTTATGGTAAATGTTTAATAAGTTGAAGTATATGAAATTTTGAATGAACTATTGAAATTGCTTGTTCCATGTAATTCACATAGATTTTTGGATGAAAAGAAATTCACAGATAAATACGATGGCTTGTACTCCTGCTGATTTGAATGTGGTATGTCCATCTCAGGTACATCCAAAGCACATGTGCAACATCTGGGGAGGGCCTTTATGAAGGCTTGGATTGGCTATCCAACAATATTGCTAGCAAGGCAAGTACATGAAAGTAAAAAGTAGTAGTAAATAGAATTCTCTCAGTGATGGTAGTCTCTATATAATAAGACTTGCATGTTTGCTAAATGTTGCAATGAACAGCAGCAAGTTTAAGCATTAGAGAGGTTTTGTTTTATGTTACCTCACTTTCTGTTTTTGCCAGGGGATGGTGGTCGGAATTAAATATTATGTCGATTTTGACCTTACATTTATATCTTTTGCTTGCAGGCTTGAGGATTGCGGTTTGCTGGTGGTTTTTTCGCTCAATGCGTGGGGAGATACTAATGTAGGCGTTTTATGATATTGTTGCAATTCCTAGACTACATTTTCTTGAAATTTTCAATGACGTTGTAGTAGCAAGATGTTGAGATGGATACAATTTTTGAAGCTATTTTTTGGTTTTGTATAACTGGTGCTTGGCTACTGCCTATGGTCTTTAGCTGTAAATGATACTATTATGTATGGTGTTGCCGTCTCTTTCTGAATATTATGTTGTCCTAGAAATGTTCCAGTCATGGGTCAAAATTGGCTTTTCAAGATGTTGTAGCTGTAGCAATTCGGTTAAATTTTAATCGGTTGAAAGGTATTCCAAAGCTAGAATAGTTATTAAAAAGGAGTGAAATATGAGGATGATTTATATTTGTTTATACATTTATTTATGCTTCTACGTGACGAACAATATTAAATTTGTTTATTAAAATCCCTACACAGACACTAGTCTCTCTTACACGGTAGAAATCTTTAAGTTACTTTCTTCATGCGTTTACCAGTGCTGGCTGGAGTTAGCGCTTGCTCTTCACGTGCTCTACAATTCTGTGTCTTTGTTCTCTCTCTATAAATCTTTTACATTCCTTGAGACAATTCAAAACACTTGTCAAATAGATGCCACGCAAAATCCTTGTCGTGTCGCAAACCTCTTTGATTGGACTGTGACAATAAAGTTATCAAAGTTTCTTCGGGTTTTTGCTTGATTGCATGAAAATGATTAGCATTTGAATTATCGTTGCAGACTATAAATCTTGATGGAGTAGGAATAGAGCTGTAAATAGTGCTTAAAAAATTGTAAGTTTTAGGCTTAGCCTGATTCTTGAAAGTCTTGTATTAGGCGTCAGGTTCAAACCCACTACAAAGTTTAGTAGAAAAGGTATAAAGTTGGTGACTCAAGGTTATGTGTGTGATATATATATATATATATATATATATTTGTTTGTTTGGAGCGTTGTGGTCTAGAGATGCAAACAAATAGGTGAATGGGATTCAAGTATAACAGTAATCACACTTTAAAGCAAATAGAGAAGCTATTTGATTGTTAACCACATATTAAACACGTGGTTAGGACTGAGCCTTTTTCTTCTAAAGTACTAGTGGCACCGCCCATTATTTGCATCCTCATGTGCATTGCTTTAACCAATTAAGTATGCAATGCCACTTTCTACACGGAACTAACCCATTCAGCTTTCCAAGATGATATTTCTATGATTTTTATTTATTTATAAATCTGATTTTTTTTTTTATTTTTCTCCTTTTCAACTAATGTTCCAAAGGACTTAACTGTTTCAGATTAGTTTATTATTATTATTATGTTTTTTTTTTTTTTTTAAGGAGAGAAGTTCGAATGCCGAAACACCTAATTGAAGAGTTATCTACCAACTATGAAAATGCCCTTCAAATTAATTGATCCATTGATGTTGGATTTAACTTCTAGAAGTTTCTTTCTGATAGTAATGTTCTTGGTTGAAACTTTAAAAAGTAATTTATCAATTTTAAGGCACCATTATATGATGAACATTTATTTAGTAATGTATTAAAAATATTTTACCCGGCAGGTCTAGATATACACAATAGATATTTACTATATAAACTTTGATGAATATAAAGGATAATCATATGAACAACCATTACCAATTCATTCATGACCACAAAATGGATATTCAAAGGGCAATGCTGTCATCTTATTACTCTCACATGAAGTGTCAGACTCTGCACAGTTATGAGTTGAGATATTAAGAAGAAAGTTTCTATTAATATCAAATTATGGACCCATTTTAGGCATTAGTCCTTTTAAACAGTACATAATTAGTGTTTTTGGCTAAACCACATATCATGATCCCAATACATTCAATTTTGGTTTTTCTTCCTCCTATTATTGATGATGAGGCTTTGTGTGGATTACAATTGTTTTAAAACCCATTTTAATATCTTTCAATGGTGATCTCAATTATGATAATGACTTGTCCAACATTGCCATAATACAATCTAAACCACTAAAATCCACCCAATTCGACATAGAATGGTACATACTATTTAAAGTTAAAAAAGTTAAAAGTTGAATAATTTTACACACACCTTTTAAGAATTACAATTCACAATTTCTATTATTGTGAGATATTATACGTGGTAACGATTGCAATGTTGACCTGGTATAATCGACGTCCACAAATAATTTATCAAAGTAAATTAATTAACTTTTTAGTTATATTGTAAGTTCACTTTGTTTTAATTATTTATAACCATACGTTATAACGTATAATTTCTTGCTAATAGTCATACCAGCCAATCTGATTGGGATTATCTAGAAAAGAAAAGAGAACATGTAACTCAATAAGTATCAATTCAATGGGAACTCAATATTTTATTTCCAGATTCATATACTAATTGCATTTAAGTATGTGAAGAAAAATTACTGGGACTGGAGACTCCTCAGGATAGTGGGACTAAAGATTTTTCATGGGGTCATTCATCTTAAGACTTCTTCAAATTAAACATGCTTTAACCTCAAAGTTTTGATAGGCTCACAACCATGACTTTAAAACGCGTTGTGTTATAGAAGAATGTTAAATTTACATATAGCATGTCCTATCCACACTGAAGTGATGTGTGATTATGCACTTGTATCTTATCCAATGTGATAGTTCATTGGTGCCAATTGTACACGTTCACACTTACCCACTCACAAGATCGCCACATTTAATGATTGTGATATTATTATTATTATTATTATTATTATTATTATTATATTTTTTCAATTTCATTCACTTGACAATCACATAATTTTTGCAATCATGGCCTCATTTTATTCATCTCCAATGTTCTTTGTCCTCGTTTTACCTTTATTTTATATTTTTTTTTATAGTTATAGTGAACACGAATTATAACAAAATAGAAAAAAAAAAAAAGGATAAAAATTAATGGTATTGAATTATAAGACTAAAGTAATCTTGAAGCTTTGGTAATGGTATTTAATTATTAAACTAAAGTGTTGTACTTATTTTTTGATTGGATATTTAAATATTTTTAAGATTATCCTCGATTGCACGGAATTAAAATTAATGATATTAGGGAAAATTTTAGTTCAGCTTTTTGTAATTTTAAGTTAATATATTTTTTAATTTCACCAATTTGAATTATATGAGGTCGAAAATGTATTTAAGTGACGGCGATTTTACTTATTATAGAATGTTAAACATTCTATATTTAAAAAATATTCGAAAACTCTCAACTGCAATTACGATTTAAGTTTTGTCACAAAAGTATGATGTACTGGGGGTGACGTACGTAATATGCCTTCGAATCAGCTCTAAAACAACTTGGGTCGAGAATGGGCCTTACAAATGTTAAATTACTCTTCGGCCTTACAGACAAAAATGATCAATAGTGGCCCAATAACTAATGTACAACCGTGCTAAACACACTCACAGCATCCAGAAAGTTTACAATATTTTAAAGTACTACATCGTAAAAATTCTTGATTTGTTTGATATAAAATGAAAAATAAATTTTTATTTATTTATTTATTTATTTTAAATATGACTCTGTATGACGTTCTCACCAGTCACCACTTCTAGCGACAAAAAGAGTTTTCTGTAATTTCATTGTCCTAGTTTATTTCATAGACAACTTTAAGAATGCACTGGTTAATTTACGTGTCATGATGACAGAAACTCAACTTAAACATATAAATCAAAGCTTAATATGTTATATAAATGTATATATTTTGCTTACATTAGTACGTGAATTCTAGGTACACACGCACCTACATACATGTATCTACATATTTGTGTGTTTTCTGTCTGGTACATCATAGAAAGTTAGAAACCCTTTCGTGCACTCTCAGCCTCAGCTTTCCCACACGCGTTTACTTTTTTATTATTATTTATTATATATATTTTATTTTTGTTTCTATAAAAGAAAAAGAAAGCAACATGCATCATGTGCAAGAGTGATTAACGTCTTGTCACAACAAACGATATATCATTTTATATTTTTAATAAAAAGATGGAGAGTTTAAATCTAAGAACGAAATAAGTCTATTTTTGTATATAACAGTTGTCATGGTAGTTAACATGCCTCTCATTATTTAGGTAGTAGAAAAAACTATATATATATATAGTTTGCACAAGATGGAGTTAGGTTAAAATTAAGCTCTCTAATGTAATATTTTAAAGCTCAATTAATTAATTAATTAAACAGATGCAAAATATCTTAGACTCATCTCTATAAATGCCGTTGCCAACTCTGTTATCTTTCTTCAAAACTCACAGTGTATCCTATATATCTTTCTCTTTCTTTCTCTCTCTCTCTAAAAAAAGAAAAATGGAAAAAAGAGTATGCAACTCTCAAGATGCTGAAGTGAGAAAAGGGCCATGGACGATGGAAGAAGACTTGATTCTCATCAACTACATAGCAAATCATGGCGAAGGTGTATGGAATACCATTGCTAAATCTGCTGGTACGTAAACTATCCTTCGCATTTTGTTCTTCATATCATTTATTGCTCTTTTTTTTTTTTTTTGGGTACATAACCTGGCCTAGCTAGTCTAGTAACCAAACTGTGTCGTTATATATATATATATATAGGTCTGAAACGTACCGGAAAAAGCTGTCGGCTCCGGTGGCTCAACTACCTCCGACCTGACGTCAGGAGAGGAAATATTACACCAGAAGAACAGCTATTGATCATGGAGCTGCACGCCAAGTGGGGAAACAGGTGTGTATGTTACAATTTACAAATATGAAATTCATCTTAATTTTAAAAATGAAATGACAATTTTTTATTTTTTATTTTTTATTCATTACGTCCAAGCTGTTTTATGTCGTCCTATGATCATTCTTTACAGTTTGTGGACAAAAGGAACAACCAACATACTTCCGATAATAATTAGGGTCGCTATCTCCACGTACATATATATTTATATATATAGAGAGAGAGAGAGAGAGACAGACAGAGAGAGATATTGCAACGTGGGGATTTTAATGATTATATGTCTATAGCTAGCAAAGGTACTCTCAATTGCAAACGTGATATATATATATATACACACATATATAATATGTTAAATATTGTTAGCTTGTGAAATATATATATATAATATGGCTAGCAATGATCCCCATTTTTTTTTTCTTTTTTGGAAGATAAAAAAGATCCTTTCAATTGTAACATGGGGTTTATAATATGGCACATGTTTATCATGATTAAACTCCCAATATGGCCACATGTTTATATATGATTTATTGTTATGGTTATGTATCACTTTCAATGTGGAAAAACAATGCTTTCTTGCTCCAAATTAATATAAGCATATAGGCCTTATATGATTGAGCTGGGGCACATCATATTGATCCATCCATAGTGCATATGGCAAATAATCTGATCCAAGGACTTTTACACTTGATCAATTATTTTCTTTGTTATTCTTTTGAAAAAAGAAAAAAAAATATATTTCCTAGGAAAACGTTTTGCAAAATTTGGAACCTTGTGTCATTAATTTCATATTTTAATTAACTATGAAATCTATTTTGAAAGATATTGAGTACATTTTGAATTAAAAAAAAAATTTGGACCCACTTTTCCGAAAAAGTGTTGAAAAATTCCAATGAAAAATGATGTTGTTCCTTTACTAAACTTAGTAATAAAGACTAAGCGCAATATATATCTATATATATTACAGCTGTGGTTACATATATATATATATATATATATATATATATGGTCCACGTTTTGCAATAGAAGTCACTATTTTTAGGTAAACCTATTTCAATTGGTCACATGTAAACTTTCCCAATCTGTTAAAAGGTAAGCCTCCTTTAATTTGTTTGACGTAGACTGTCACCCATACTGTTTTGGAGAGACCCCTCGAGATTACGACTTCCACACATCACTTGTGTAATTTTTTCAAAATAATAATAATAAATATAAATAAATAAAGTATATTTTTTGGATAATAAAAATAAAATATCATGGTAAAGGTTTGCATATAAATCTTTTTTCTTTTAAATCTAAGGATAAAACAAGGCTGCATTTTATTTTTCCTCTTAAGATGCAGGTTGTCATATGAAAATAAGTGATTTGTATTTTTATTTTTTATAATCAGGATGTTTGAAGTTTTGCTGTGACTAATATTCCACCGGACTTCTGTAAGGCACCCCTAAAAATTAGTGATTTGAAAAAGCTAAAATAATAAATAAGATTTTTGTATTTTATGATGAAAATTGTTCTCCTTAGCACAACCTATATATATGATTGATTGATTGTAGTATATAGATATATATGTAGACCTAAAATAATCATCCTTGTGATATCTATTCAACATTTCTGTGGAACTTGAATGATTTAGATTTCAAACCCTAGAACATGACTGCTTTCATTCTAAACCCTAGAACATGACGGGTTTCATTATCTTAGAACATGCATGATTGATTAAGTTAATTAATACCATGACTAAAATAGCATTTCACACATAAATACACAGACACATGACATGGTGGGGCATGCTCATTTGATTCATTTAATGTTAGCATTGTTAGGTAAGCTCTGTGTCACGCTCCCGCCTATTTGCATGAAGGTTGTGAGAGCGACACGGGAATCCTAAGGAGGACTACTCATGCATAACATTAATTAAAAGAGTGTTTTTTTTTTTTTACGGTCTTTAATATTTGTGTGGAAATTGTGTAGTAGAGTTAAAAAATTCTAGAATATTGAAGAGCTTATAAAATATTTGTAATGGGTATAAAATTGTAATAGAATATATAGTAGTGAGTTTTGTGCAGAGTTTAGCCATATGCATTTCACTCATATATACATATAATTGTACATACACACACACACATATATATATTGTTGTTGTTGTTGATAAGATTTTTGGTAGCGTAGGTGGTCGAAAATTGCAAAGCATCTGCCGGGAAGAACCGATAATGAGATAAAGAATTACTGGAGGACTAGAATTCAAAAACATATTAAGCAAGCAGAGAATTCAAGTGGACGGAGTAGTGAGAATATGGATCAAGCAAGCACAAGCACAAGCCAAATTTGTAGTACTGTTAATGCAAATATTGCTACCGAAACCTACACTCCAACACTGTATCCAGGAAATGTCACCGGAGGTTCTTTGCCGCCTCAACCCAACGACAACGCTTGCAGCACTGATCAATCTAACAACTTTTGGAGCATGGAAGATTTCTGGTCTATGCAGTTACTTAATGACGATTAATTAAATACTGCTTTCTAGACTTGTATATATTTCAAATTTTAGCCAATTCCTATATATATTTATGCAGTTACTACTGTACTAATATATATATTATAGAAAATAATAATAATAATAAAATTATGGTTGTAATATATATAATGAAGATTCCTACCATCTACATTTTGCTTATATGGTAAAGGTGGATATATTTGCTTATTATTAATGCATGTATTTTTAATATAAATATTTAAGTGGATGGTTCTATTATGTAGAATTTATATAATGTGGATATATATTTGTGAATTTTTTATTTATTAGGTTTTACTAGTCAAAGTATATAGTTTGGACGTGTTCCATCAAAAATTATAGTTGGTCTATCTTAGTCCAGTCTACTAGACTACTTTATCAATCAACATATTTTTTTTGTACGTTAGAGTTGATGATTTGATTCATATGATTTTTTTTAGATGGAGATTTTTTTTTTTTTTTTTTTTGGGTTGAATACCAGTCATGTCTTGAGTAGGTGTTAATATGTTTTATTATTATTTTCAGGATAAAAATGTTAAGAGTTAGTAGTTAATTATTAAAGGGAAGGGAGAAAGGCGCAAGGCTCGAACATAAATTTTCAAATACAAAGAATAACTTAATTACTCCAATAACACGTTAATATGTTTGATCTATACAAAAGTATAAATTATAAAATTAATGGCATGATCTAGGCATGCATTTACATGACAAACCAATCACGACATTGCACATGCACACAACACATGTACCAAAACCGAATCCATAAAGAATTGAGGAGTGAAAAGATATGTATATAGCTATCCTTGGTAAATTCCAACTTTGATTTCCAATTTATCTATATTTGTGCATCAACTTCCGTCTACGAAGTTGGACGTGAGCCTAACTCTTTTTGTGTACAAAAGGAAATTTCACATGCTCCATATAATTCACGTCAACTTGCTCAACATGTTTACTTTCCACACTCCAACTATATCAAAACACTCACAAATTCTTTGAAGTACGTACAACCTTTACATAATATAATAATATATCAATATTACGTAAGCGATTTAAGGTAACAGTTATATAAGTGATATGAAGTTCTTGTTTAATCGATCTATCTAAAGTAGCTGCATAAGTAACTTAAAACTATTACATAACCGACGTAAAATTGATGTAAAGTTATTACGGTGGCATATGACGTCGTCTGCAATAGGGGAGGATAGGAGCTCATTGAACAAATAGTTAACTGCTAATAAAGTTGGACTCTCACCCTCAATATATACATATACAAACAAACACATAACAAAGATCTATATATATATATATATATACACACACACACATATGTAGGAATAATTTTCTTTTAATGTAATTAAGTATCTGATATAATTATTTCTTTAGGCATATCTCGTTGTTGATTGTTGTTGCTGCTGCTTTTGCTTGGGATATAAGAATGAATGCATCCCCATGTGATGAGTCCGTTATTGAAAAAAATTAGGATCATATTAATTATGACTTTTTAATGATCTTATCAAAGGTATCGATGCCGAACTCGTATAAGTGAAGTGTTTGGTGGTGTTAATTAATTTGTTTTTAGTTTTTTTTTTTTAGTAAATTAATTTGTTAATAGTTATACCATGTGCAAATGAAATGAATTGTCTATATATATAATTAGTTTAATCTCAAAAATATCACTCTCTCTGTATATATATATACTCATAAATATTAATTTATATACATGGACATTATACTATATATATATATATATATTATGGTGTACAATATGTCAATATTACAATGTGCCCCTCCTGAACAAATTTTCTGACTCCATCTCAGTTTGTTTGTACACACACGCATATATATCACTCTCTCTGTATATATATATATACTCATAAATATTAATTTATATACATGGACATTATACTATATATATATATATATATTATGGTATACAATATGTCAATATTACAATGTGCCCCTCCTGAACAAATTTTCTGACTCCATCTCAGTTTGTTTGTACACACACACGCATATATATGAAAGCATTTGAAACTGGGCTATTCTCATTTTCCATTATCATACCATGTAATGTAATTAATGATGATCTGTATTAAGTTTTAAGGGATAATTTAAAGGTTTTGGTTAGGGGTGGCAATTCGTGCTCACATATTATAATTGTGTTGTATTAATCTAAGGGTATTATACTAAATAGGTCAACCAAACACGACAAGGGGTGCATACGGTCCGGTTTGGATCGGATTGGGAGTTTTTTGGGACCAAACTATTTATAACGGTTCCACTATTTTTGAAACCAGACCAAACCATAACGCTAATGGAACCAAACCAAACCAAACCGCGAAAAACCAGTTTGGTTCGGTTCGGTTTGTTAGTTTAAGTTGATTTCCTTTTTTAGTTTAATTTTTAAAAACAAAATCTCTTACTTTTCCCGGTATATAATACATCAGGGAACTGACAGTGACCAACTGACAATCACATATGCATTGTCAATAATATCAGGCACATGTGGAAGAAAGAAAGAAACAAACAGTGATCAGATGACCACAAAGAAAAAACTAAAGCATTCCATGTTTACCATTTACGAGGTATTAGGAAAAGAAAAAAAAAAATTTAACTCCAGATTTCAAAAAACAAGAGAGATCAAGTACGGAATAGGTAATGTTTGAAATCCCCAACTATCATAATTATTTCTTGACATGGCTAAAAATATATAGACTTAGTTTACTAACCACTATGAAGTTGAAAAGAATATATATATATATATATATATATATATGTTATATAACAGTTTGGTCTGGGTTGGGCCGGTCTAGCAGGACTCTAAATCAGGATCGAATCGAAAAATTACGGTTTCATAATTTTGGGCCTAGGTACAGACCAAAACGCTATACAACTAGCTCAAACCGTTCAGTTCAGTTCGGTTCGGTCTGATTTTTCGATTTATCGAATTTTTTAAACACCCCTAAACACGACCTATTTAATAGTTGTGTCAGAAACCTTCACAACTAGCCCGACCTTTTTTTTAAACGGAAAACACATGTTAACCTGTTTAATAACCTATTTACTAAAATCATACATTATTATTTAGACGATTTATAATACTTAATCAAACAAAAAATACTACAAAAATATATATTATCTAAAGAGCTAATGTATTTTTGTTAGAATTTATGTTGACTAATTATCAATAGTAATTGGGTCTAAACATGTAAACAGTTATATGACTGATATTAACACGATTATGAAACTTCTAATAAAACGAATTACACGTGTTGAACACCTCAATCCTAACACAACATAATTAATAAAACAGATTAATCGTGTTGACTCATTTATGACTCAAACTCAATTAAGTAAACTTAAACCCATTTATATCGTATCGTGTTTGAGTCGTGTTGGCGACAGTTGGAATTTAGGGACCCTAAATTTTAAGTAGATAGTTCGCCGTATTGGCCGATACGCGACCTATTTTTAAGTCCGATACGTGACCCGTATCGATCAGTTTACACTGACTTTGTCCGAATCTGTTATACCGCGAACGCGATCGATACCGTGACTGTGACCGATATTGCGAATCATATCATGGCTACAAGTTTGTTTGGGTAATGATTCCTTTTATATTTAGCCCCTTAGAAATGCCTTAATTTTAGTTTGAATTAAGAAGGGAGGGGACTTAAAAAGGAATTTGGGGTGGTGTAGGTGCAGAATTTCGCTCAACCAATAATGATTAAGAAAAATAAAACAACTCATTCAATCAATAGTAAAAATAAACAAGAACAATATATGTCGAAGCGTAGAATTGCTTGATTCCTTTATTGGAGGTCTAAGCCTCTATTTATATACAAAAGATTGTAAAATTATGGTAGGACTCGCGTTGCTTGTCCTCCAATTCTTTCTATATAAACATTCCCTAATAAAGTTTTTTCCATTGTCTAATTTTCCATACATAGAACTTGCCTTGTACAGAACTTCCTATCTCAGAATTTTCCTTCTATGGTAAATCCTTCAACTGGTAGGACTTGTGCATTCTTGAATAACTGAGCTGAACATACTTTGATCCGGCTGGGCTTGAGTAACGGACCGGATGTTAAATATTAACAAGTTGGGCTGATGACCTCTTGATTTGGCCTTGATGGAGGTTGGAAGACAAATAACAATGGTCTTGGGCTAAAAATACACTCAATTTGGGCTTGAGCATGATGGGCCTTATATATCCTTGGAATGTAGATATGTGTAGTGATGACGTGTACGCTTCTTATTGGAGGGAGTTTTTTTCCCTCTACACTTTGCCCCAAATTTCATTTTTAATTAAGTGACGGCTCCCATTAAAGAGGGAATTGAAACCGGTTTTTTACTTTGCTTCAGAGACGGTTCGAGGACTTTCATTATTACTCCGTCGTACAAGATTCTGCAAGAGTTACATTCGCCCTAGCTGCACTCCTGCGTTCTTCATTCCATCGCCTTGTCAGGTTAGTTTTTTTTCGCATCTTTCTCTTCAATCTTTCATTATGAGTACTTCCTCTACTCCCGAACGTATAGACATTGGGGATTCTGAATCCACACCTTCATTTTCCCCCGTTCGAATTAGGGCTCCCCCTCTTAGGGTTTCTCCAGATCGTCTTTCATTGAATCAATTAGGTACTTCCCCCCTTCCAGCCGAGACATCCACCCCAGGTTCTGATAATGTTTTTACTCATGAAGAGAGGAAAACAATCATCTCTATTCGCCGCATCAAGTTCTCTATTGCTTCGGTAATGGAAGAATTTGATATTCCTGAGGGAGTAGAAATTGTAGAATATCCCGAGGGTGCCGATTTTACCTCCGGCGAGGGAATTGAAGAGAGTGAGTTACTTCTTTCGGTAGGGCATCTTAGCGCCCTCCGGTTCCCTCTTCACCCCTTCTATCATTTAGTTTTCAACAAGTTAGGTCTTGTACCCCTTCAGGTAAATCCTAATTTCTTTCGCATCCTTTCGGCACTGTTGGTGCGCCGGAAATTAGAGGCTCTGGATTTGACCTTTGCCGACCTTCTGCTTACTTATAATATATCTAAGCATGGGACCGAGCCTGGTCGCTTCTTTTTTACCTCTCCCCTTCATCAGAGGATATGCACGACCTTCCTTCATCCGAGAAGAAGTGGAAAGAAAGGATGGTTATAGTTAAAGGAAAATGGTTCGTGCCCCAATCAATTACGCTCCCCATCCCGCGCAAGTTCGGGAAATTAGGTATAGAATACTTAACCTCCCTTCATACCAAGTGTTCTGGTTGTTTTCCTTGCCAAGT